TTATTTTTAGATATTACTCATAGTAAATGTATATTATTTAGTAAAAATCAATGAACGAAGCTGGTTGCCCTTTGACAGGATTTTTTACAGTAAATTTTACTTAGCACCAAACATCAAATAGAAGCTATTGATTTAATACGAACCTTGCTTACATATTTTCAAATTTAATGAATTTATTTTGTCTCTAACTCCAAAAATCTAATTTAAAAGAGGATAATTTTATTTTATCCCTATCAATTTTCTATTTCTTTCTTAATAGATTACAAGTATTACCAACAATAAAAACTTAAAGTATGGCTGATAAGCTTCAATTTTTTTTTCTATTTTTATTGAATTTGTTTAATTTTTAGTATAAAACAAAAATAATTGAATTTATTTTCACGTTCAAAATTTATTTTTTCATCTTACATAAACTGTTAAAGAGTTGAAAGCCTTTTAATTTTTTGAATAGTGTAATTTTATTCATCTTTGTTGAGTACAAAAATAATATAAAAGGATCTAATTTAAATATTAAATTGATATCATTATTTTTTATTAAAGATCAATTTAATTTTTTGAGTAAAATAGAAATAGTTGTTTGTCGAACATTCATTAAATGTTGATATAAAAGAATTTATTTATCAATCATCAAAATTACTCTTAGTTTTATTTCTAATTGTATTTATATATCAGATAGATGTCTTTGTTGATTTTAATAAAGCACTTTTAAGTGATAAAAATCACAGTCATATATTTTCATATCCAAGGATTAACTACCTTAACAAATAATTAATTTTTTACTTCTCAAAATCCTTTTTACTAGCTAGCTAGATAGATAGCTTATACTCATAAATACTAAATTTAATTTTTATTGAAAATTTATTTATATAATCTAAATTTATTTAAGAATATCTGAAGAATTGATCATGAACTCATTTTTAAAAATGAATCACTAAATAAAATAATTTTTAACTGTAAAAAAAAAAATAAAAATAATATATGTTGGCTATCAAATCCACATAAATAATTAATTAACTACTTAGTTATGGTGTTTTGAGCCAAAAATTCTGATAATTTAATTCAAAATATCTTAATTAGTTTGATCAACGAAAGAAATAAGATTTATTTTTTATATTACATATAAATTTTTCTACACTTTTCATATAAAAACTATTAATAAAATTCTCCACAAATTAATTTTTATTAAGACTCTCTCTCTCTCAGTAATTTAAATTCTGAAAGTAAACTAAAAATACCGGTGGTTTTCACAAATCTAAAAGTAGAAAAGATTAACAAATAAATAAATAAATCAATGGATTGAGTTAAATTGATTCTTTATTTCCTTTATTCACCATAAATAATTATCATATATTTATTTTTTAGATAGAATTTTTGAGATTGTTGGCAGAAACATTTTAGATTTATCTCAGAAAGCTTGCAAAAAAAATATTTATTAGTTATTAGCCAATTTCGCGCTTTTTATTTTAATTTGCTTCACCTTTGCATATAATTTTAGCATGTTTAGCGGTAAGTTTTCTACTAATAAATTTTGAATAAACTTAACTATGACAATCAATCAAGAAATATTAGACGATTAATTACTTATTTATAAAATATAAAACAGAGTATGACATCAAAAAAATAATCTTAAAAACGTCAAAATAAATCTACAAAATTATAATAAATTTTAATTTTAGAGTGCTTTTTATATTGAAATTGATATCTTATTTTAGAAAATAGAAAAAATAGATAATTAATTACATACATACATACATATAAATAAATATAAAAATTTAAAATAGCTCACTTTCTTTTTTGGTTTACCCCTTCATATTTATATTTATTTATGACATTTAATTTTCAACAATAAAAGGAGTAAGTGAAAAATTTATTCTGCTGCTTGTGGTAAAAAATATAGGGTGAAGGAAAAAGAAATTAAAATTCTAAATACTTTAAAGTAAAATTTCACTTTGTGAACATTTTCCCATCAACTTGTTATTGGCTAAAAATACAATAATCAATATTAATATATTAGGTTAGCATTTCAAAGAAAGATGTGGTGATATGAAAGTAAATTGATTAAAAAAAAGTGGAGTGTCTGTCTCACTGTATCAAAAAAATCAAAGAAAAGAAATAATAAATAAATCTATTAAAAAATACATCCAGAAAAACAAGCATTTCATAATTAATTCTTATATCAAATTAAGCACTAAGAAAGCAATTGATACTAATAGGAAATTTCATGATAAAGTATTCATTTTTATTATAAAATAAAAATTATAAAAAATATGGGAAATTTGTTAAATAAAATTGAAAGTATTCTTATATTAGAAAGTTGCTAGTAATTTACTGCATACTCTAAAATCCATAAAATTAATTTTTGAAGTGTTTTATCCAAGTAGATTCCTAATTTTTAGCAGTTAAAGCTATTATATGTTAGTTAAATTTATTTTTTACAGCAAAAAAATGTGCCAAAATGTTAAATAAAATTATAAGAACGAATTATTTATCTATTTATCTATTGACAGTTGGTTGGTTATACATAGATTTTAATCAATTTTCTTTACTTATTTAAATTTTATTTCTCCTCTAATAGCATGAATTTATTGAAAAGTTAATTGGCTTAAAAAACAAAATAACAAATGCATATGTATTTTTTATTCTTTAATTAATGTAACATGAAAGGCAAATTCCACCGACAGATATTGTACTTTTGTGTTACTGTACAAAAAACGGGTGATAAAAAATTAATTGCTTTAGTGTATTGAAGAGAAAACAAAAAAGAGATTCACTAATTATATTTGCAAGATGAACTTTATTAGAACCACAAAAATAATAATAATTAATTGTTATCAACACACAAAATACTCTTTGAGGTATTAAAGCATTCATTCATTCAGCTGCAATCAAATTAATATAAATTAAATAAATATACTTTAATTTGAAGCTACAATCTTATATTGATTGAATATTTTCATATACAATCATTAGATTTTCCATTCTTACAGACAAAGAAAACTAATTATTTGTCACATTTACAAATCCAATCCATGGAACTTCTTTCTGTTAATATAATACTTTTTTATACACACTTAACCTTATAAATCTCAGGATAATAAATTTTATTCTGTCCATTTAAACCATATGCTCATAAATTCATATGTTGTCTTTCTAAATTTTACGAATATCAAAACTTAACAGCTTCATTCATTTATATTCTCTTGAATTAGCAAAGTCTAAATAATTACACAAATTAAGTAATTCTTTGTTTATTTATTTACTTAAACTTTTTATTCTTATAAAATAGCTCTCGATTGACAATCTTACTGTCTATCTTTCTCATATATTTACTAGCCGTCTATATACATACATTTATAACATACACATTCTGACTGCAATTAAAAAATTCAAAAAATTATTATGTTTTTAAGACATAAACTTTTTGCAAGCATCGAAAATAATCAGTTATCGTTTTGTTTGAATTAATAATTTGAAATGACCTTAGATTGATTGACTTTTCTAACTATAAAATTTCAAAATGTTTCTTAGTTAGATAATATGTAAATAGCATAGTGTCAGAATAAAATTATTGAGAGCAATAAATTATTGTTTATTTCTAGACTGCAAAATATAAATTTAATCAAAGTATAAAATTTAATAGAAATTTGATTAAATATATATACCCTACCCCATCACAATACTCTCAAGTATTTTTAATTAATAATTATTAAATTCAACATTGTAAAAAAATTAATTAAGATTGTAACAATATTAATTGAATTTATATTCTTCAAATCAGGTATAAATAATAACTTATACTCAAATACAATACACACACATACATAAATACATACATACAGACAGACAACTTGATTGATTTATTTTGAAATAGTAATTTAATAATACCCCATTGTATGAGATTTAATATAAAATAAATATAAAATGGAAGTATTTTTCCTTTAAAGCTTTCACTCAAGCTTTATTGTTTGCTAATCAGTAAATAATCATCAGAGCAATTTTAAATGTTTAAATTTTACCACAAAATTTAAAAATAAATATAAGCAAAATATAAATAAGGCTCTTTTGAATAAATAAAAATGAAGATTTTGCAAAACAAAAGTAGAAAATATTTGTTTGTTTTTTTTAAAATCCTCATTTTGAGGAGATATTAAACTTACAATATAATTAATAATTGTAGACCAGCCTTTAAATAAGCTAATTTGTATATCATATAATGTAATAAGTGTTATTAATAACATTTTTAATTCTTCTTCTAACCTTCTATTAGTTTTTTACAATAATAATTTAGATATTATTGACTTTCAGAAAGTTATTTGCATTCTTTAGATAACATTTAAATATTGTTTGTAGACTTTAGGAAAGGAGAAAAGTAATAAATGTTTTATATATAACTAACTATTATTATCATCATATACCTATTATTTATAAGCTTACATTAAAAAAGTAACAACACTTAACATTTATCTTATCATATGTTTTACCAATTCAAAATTAAAGTTATTTACAGTAAATCAATGAATAAATGTACTTAAAAAATAGTAAAGACGTTGGGCGCATGAATTTATAAAAATCACTTATTCTGTGATTAATTTAAAACGCATTCATTCACTCATTGAGTCTAACTTAACATTGTAAAATCAATGCGATTGTTAACAGATTAAATTGAAAAATAGCTAATAAAAATACTTTTTAGCATGTAAAAATAAATTAATTGCATTTAAATAATCATTTAAATGCAAGAAAAGTTCAAATAAAACTTAAAAAAAATCTTTTATTTTTTAATACTTTTATTTAATTATTTATTTATTTAATAAACACACATGCCTCATGCCGGAATTTTTTAAAAAGATATAACTTGGACTTAATTAATTAATAATTACTTTATATTAGAATATAATTTATCAATCTTTCTATTTGATTTTTTTTCTTTTCTATTATTTATCCTTAATTCATAAACTATTTCATTCACTTAGTCAATCAATTAGACACTCTCACAAATTTCAATCATTCTTCTTCTGCGATAATGTTTTTTCTTTATTCTTTTGGAACTCAAGGATTAACTTAGTTATCTCCTATGACTCTGTATTTCTCATTTACTACCTCAGTTATTTGTCATGCTTTTACTTTTCTTGTGCAATCTTATCATTTTTCCAAGTTTTCACTATAAATAAGGTAGATTCCAGAATTAATGTGCCAATTAAAGAGACAACTGCTAGGATCATGCATAATCCTTCATTCCATTCTAAAATATGCTTACCAATAAAGTAGCCACTTACTCCGCTCAAGAAAAATGTGAATATAAAACTAACACCAAATGAAATACTCTTTTCCATATCACGAATATCTGCTCCAATTGATTAACCTTTATCTTTACCCATCATTTTTTAATACTTTCTTTCTTCTATTCTAGCTTGCCTTTCTTCACGCTCCTTAATTACCTTAGGGTCATTATCGGCCTCTTCTCTTTCTAAACTCTCCATATCCGCTTGCATATATATCATGTCAGGCTTTATGATCTCATTCAACAGGAGTTTTTAATTCTTTTTTTCTTTATTATGAGAATCTACTTTTTCTAACAGTGTTTTATATGGAACTAATCCAAACTTATGACCCTTAAGGTCTATATTTAACTTTTACAATAGGTCTTTATCACTCTCGTCCTAAAATTTCACAAAAACCATTTTTATATACTAATCTAAAAGGGAAAAAAATCACTAAAAAATTTAATTTTGAGAGATTAGAAGTGAATATGCGCAATCTATTTGGAATTTAATGTATAATTTAGCTTTCAAATATTTCTTCAAAGAGAGATAGATAGATAGAAATAAATAGTGTATGCAAATTCATATATAAATCTTAAATTAACTAGCAGAATACATGAGAGAGCTAAATAAATATAATTGCAAGAAGAACAACTGTGTTGCCTAGCAATAGTTAATTAGTGGCGACACATTAAAACAATGAAAATAGTTAATATTTGAAATAATTAATGTAAATAAGATGCTTATAATATTATCTTACATTTTTCACACGTTTAATAATAAAATCAATGCTCCTTTATTTTTCTCATAAATATTATTATAAATTTCTTTTTAGAAAAAAGAAAGATTCATAGGAGTAATGCTAAATAATAAACATTCAAATAAATTAGGTGATGTTCACTTACATTTTACCTTTTTTCCCCACAAAAAAGAAAAAACAAAAAAAATAACAAAATTTCATTATGAATTTATTCTATTTTGAAAATTTTATTTGTTCTGTCTTAATTTGACATAATATTATATTTAAATGCTTTCTGAATATTTCTGAGAAAGGAGAAAATCAAAATTTAAATGAAACCGAGTTAAATTAAATATCAAAAAAAACTGAGGACTTAAATTAATCAGTAATTAGCAGATGATTAAATTTAATATATTGTGGTTATATCTTAAGTTTAATTTATTTGCTTAATTAATTAGATTTTTATTTTTATTATTTTTCAATTTGAATTTTTTATTTTCATATTTTCTTTATTTGTTTGTTTGTTTTTTATTTTCTTTTATGTTTTTTCTTATTTTTTTTCTTAATAAAATTTATTTTGTTCTTTATAAATATGTTTTTAATTTTTCTTAAAATAATATTTTAAATAAATCAAAAGAGGTGGGAGAGAATTGACGAAGGAGTATTTTTGGTACAGGAATCGACTTGGATAGCTTTCGGGATTGCTTTAGGTGGTGGCAGCGGCATTTCACAGAGCGAATGATTGTTTTTCTTGTGGTTTAAAAAATTTATTTTGCATTTTTTTATATGCCCCTCAAAAACTTGCTATCCATGTTTATCCTGATACTTGATTTACCCCACAGCCATTGGCTCAGTGTGTCTTCTGGGGCCCGAATATGTCATGGGAAGCTATTCATATCGAAAATTTTAGGTCGAGGGTTTGAAGGAATTTAAAAACTGTTGGACGAGCGAATGAGAACACATGAATGATTTTTTGTTAAAAAACTTTTTCTCCTCTAAAATTGGCGATATGATTTTCCTAGCACGGACATTTCTACCCAGATGAGACACGAAGTTATTAGGCTGATGTCCACATCAAATTTTTTTGTAAGGCCGAATTAGCTTTGTTTTTTTTTCTTTCATGCCATTACTTACTTATAATTTCTTTTTGCTTTGTTTTTAATCAAAGTTTTTAGTAAAGAAAGAAAAATTAATTGACCTAAATCTCTAACTGTTTTTTCTTTTTTTTGATTTTGCTCTTTGTTTTTCTCCCCGCCAAAATCCAAAATATCTTTGATTAATTTAAATTCAAATTCATAATTATTCAATTAAAAATCAATCTTATTACATTCATTAATTTCTTTATTCATTCATTTATGATTTTAATTTTAGAAAGGAATTTCACAAGAAAAATTTCATTTTCAAATTTATTTGATGGTTTTATCTTACAAATATATATAAAGAAAGAAGTGTGTGTCTATATCATCCAATTTAATAATTAAAGCAAAGTAAAATAGCAAAATATACATATACCCGTCCGTAGTTTCTTCTTGTTTATTGATTTATTGATTTGTTTATTTGAATGTTAGAGGCAATTAATTATTAGTTTATGCTTAATATAAATATTTGTGAATAAGAGTATATATTACATTTTTAATATCTAATAATCTAGCTTACATTACTAATAATTGATTTTACACTAATATTCATCGACTTATTTATCTGTAAATATTATCTCACATTTTTTAATAGAAATTTACAAACAATTTAATGGAAAACAAATTCAAGGTTATTGTTTGATATTCATGAATTTTATTTTAAAATACATGTTACATGTGATTTTTTTTTTGGTTTTTATTTATCCCTCCCAATTTAATTATTATTGCCTTGAATGATTGAAAAATAAATAAATCAAATTCTAATTATATTTATGTGGCTGTCTAGTAAAAAAAACACCAGTCGTTTAAAATCAATTTCTAATTTACATTTATTATGTATATCTATCTATTTATTTATGTGGTTATTTGAATAATTCATTTTACACTGTTTAATTTTTATGCATTTATTTTATTGGTTTACAATCAAAAAAATGTGAAAAATAATTTCAAAAAAATTGTATGTATACATATTCCAGTCTAAGCTAATTAATTTGTCTATTACTTAGAATATCATTTATTTTTATGCTTTGTAACATATTTTATCAATAGTTTTAACAAAATATTTATTTTTATTTTTTTAAATTTTATTTTTCTATGATTTATTGGTCGATATATATATATATATAGATAGATGGAAAATGTATGTTTTGAGAAAGTAACATAATTATTTGTAATAAAATCAAATATTATTAGAATTAATCATAATCTTTTTACTCTAAATAAAAATATCACATAAAAACGTGAAAGATTAATATAGCAAGCAACCTTATTAGATTTTTTTTAATAGCCAAAAAGAAAAGAAAATTCATAAATGAAATAGATATTAAAATAATCATAAATTTTTTTTTTTTTTTTCATTTTAACTACAATCTTCTTTAAAAACAAATAAAATTTTCTTTTTTTAATAGTAAATTGATTATTAAATGTGTAAAGTTTAATAATATTTATATTAAGAATTGAAGAAAAGGATCATTAAAGTGAATCTTCTTTGTTTGATTAATAACATTACATCTAGAAGAATTATACTATTCACTTTTTTTTACACTTAAATAGGAGTAATTACACTAAAAGTAATAGATTGATCGGGGGTAATATAATTCATCTTGCTACTTGATACAATAAAACTTCTATAGTGATTATAAGTGGATATTAAGCAAATAAATAAATACCCCTTGCTTGTTACTTTTTTAATAAAATAAATCAAAGATTTATTATGTAAAAAGGAATTATAACTAACTACTTTCTTTAAAATATAATAATTTTGCTACTTTGTGTATTTACTTAGTTACTGACTGATTGACTGACTAACCCAGTATAATTAGCTCTATATAATTAGTAGAGCATTAATTTTGTAATATTCTACATATAAATTATTTATAATCAGCCTAAATTAATATTTTAAACAATCTCATATTATTCTTTCTTGTTTATTCTTCCTAGTCTATTTTAATTAATGTCCTATCTTCCTTGCTCTCTGGCTGGCTGACTACTTGTTTAAATAATAGAATAATACAGCTATTTTTGTCACAACAAATGCTGATTCTGAACAGTTTTAAAAACAAAATGCTGGATTTAGCTACTAAATTAAATATTTTTAAATTTAACAAGTTTCATTTGTGCTAGAAATATTGTTCTATACTGAAGACCAATTTAATTTAAAAAAGTATTTTTATTCCATACTTGCTTGCTACTAAATTTGCTTAACAACAACAATAGCAACCTAAAAATTATATATAATAAGCGATCAATTTTTAATAAATTCGCACCTAAAATAATGATTAATAATATATCCATAATAAATTTAGTAAATTAATATATTATTTCAATTATAAAAATCTCTATTCAAGAATCTAAATTATCAATAAATATTGGCAAGTATTTTCTATTTCTTTTATTTGGGTAAAAAACAAATGCTTGTTATTACTGGATATTTGTCAAAACTTTATTTTGCAAAACAAACAAAGATTTTTTTAACTTGAAATCTTTAATTTATTTATTCACTTATTTTTAGTAAACGGGTATATTAATTTCTAAAATTCTTATTCGAACTAAATTTTCTTTCATGATTTATTTCATTTTTCGATCAAATTAAGCTTGCCTTATTTTTACTTTACATTTGATTGCTTTTAATAAATACTTAAAATATTACTTGTACCAAACAAAAACTTTCTGTCTGTAATAAAAATAGCAATGAATTGTGCAAACTGTCTTTTATTTATTTATTACAATTTATACATTTAGCAATTCTTTATAAATTACTTAGTAAACAAAAATCTTCTAACTAATAACTTTTCAGATACAAAATTATAAAACAAACAACCAAAAAAAACATAAAACAAGCAAGTATAAGTATAAATAAGTCTTTACTATTTTTGTAATGTATTTTACCTTTTATCAATTTTTTTAAATTTTATTAACTCAAAATATTTTTTCTTAAAATTCAGTCTCATTTTAGTCAAATTGTAAATTTAAATCTTAATAATTCATGAGTTTACTTGCATTTTTATGTTTATTTTTTAAAATTTTAAGTTTAATAATATGGATTTTTTATTTCCAACCTATGTTACTCTATATATATCAATCATTTAATATTTGTAATTCTTGAACAGGTATTATATTATCTCTTTAAATTTTAGATTTTCTTCTATCAAATTACATTATTTTGATAGTTAGTTTTTGCCTTCTTTGAATTTATCAAAATATTCACTCTTTTAATTTTTAGATTTCGTTTACATAAATTTTATTTGTCCTCTAAATATATCTCTGTCTTTTTTTTGTTTATTTCTCAAACATTTGAATGGTGAATTTATGTGCTTTATTTAATGTTTGCTTATCCTCTGATGTTTTCAAGTTTTTATTTTATAAAAGAAATATTTCCAGCTTATATGTAAGAAATAAAAGTAATATTGTTAGATTTTGATAAATAAAAAATAATTTGATCTTATTAATAATTAATTAAGTATGAATTATTTTTTAAATTCTAAAGATCTATTAAATGTGATTAGCAGTTAGTTAGTGAGTAATTAACTATTAATAAGAAATTGGCTAAAATTGTTTTAAAATTTTTGAACAAATTTGATGTATTTTAAAGAATTTATTTGAAGTTTTACAATTTTAGAACTATTAATAGTGGTTGCAGATAAAATATCAATAAGAAAAGCAAAAATATGTTTTATTTGATAATTTTCTGCCCAATTGTTTATAAAAAAATTTTTGATGCAAATTAAAATTTCTAATAAAAGTTATGTAATTATTTATTTAAACCCCCATTTACATATTTATGGCGACATAAATCTATGGCTATGCATAATTTTATGACAATAAATATTTACTGATCTAATAAATCGAAATCTAAAAATGCTTGCAGGTAGGATCTTAAGCGGGTTTTAGCTTTCTCAGCTAATTTTGGGCTGTACTATATTTAATTAATATTTATATTTATAGCAAATACTAATGCAGTTAAAGAAATTATCTTTTGACTTATATAACCAATTACTTTTCTTTGAAATTTCTTGTTTATTAACAGCTACTTTTAAAGCTAAAAAAATGTATGAAAAACTAATAAATATTCACAATAAGTTTTAAAAAATTAAATCAATAAAAAATAAAATATATTAAAATGATAAAAATATAAATAATTGTCAATAAAATGCTTAAAAACTTAATTTTAGAGCTAGCTATCTTGTTAAATATCAATTAATTTGTTACTAACTTACTTTCTATTAAACCTTACAATTTCATGAATTTAATTATATTATTGTTAAAACCTGTAACAATTTACTCATATCAAAGAATTTTTAAAAATAGAAGAAAATTTTATTTAAAATCAAGCTCAATTCATTAGAATAAATGAAACCTTTCAAAAAAAATAATTTTATTTCAATTTTAATTACTTTTTTTAAAGAAAGAAATTAAGGTAATTCAAATATATATTTCTATTTTTAGCAATTTAAACATTTATTTGAAAAAAATTAATTTCAAATAATAAATTAGCTCCAACTTTTAATAATTTTATTAATGAAAAAGCTAATGGCTATCTGAGTAACAAAATGAGTACATGTGGTATAACTCTTTATTTTCATTAAGATTAAAATAATTTGGAATATTTGTTTCAATTAATCCACAAAATTTATTTAAATTTACTTGTAGATAATTGAAACTATTTTTGTTGGTCTTGACATCAGCAACTACTAAATAATTAGTTCAAATTTTATTTATATTACTTACTAGAGTCTTACAGTAGTCTCTTCATGCTAGACAGTAAGGAAGAAGAATATTTGGTATTAAATAATATAAAAAATATTTTTAAATTAAATGATTGATTAATTCATTTATCAATTTATATCTGTAAAATACAAATTAAATACTATAAATAATTTATTTTTATTATCAACTAAGAAAGGTCTAATAAATTTTCATATTTGATTTTTTGTTTGTTTTTGTTACAGATTGATTTTATAAAAATACTTTAAATCCATATTTATTTATTTATTTATTTATTTATTAATAAATAAAAATGTTACATTTAATGGAAAACAAACTCTTTTTAAACTTAAAATATTTAGTCTTAAATAAAAATAATATCAGTCAAAGCATTTTAATTTAAAACTATTTGATAATAAGTGATGAAATATAAATTGTTTTATGTTATGTTTAGATGATTTATTATTTATTTGCTCATTTATTTAATATTAGTGAATATCTAATTTTTTTTAAAATAGATTTTTACATATGTTTCAAGTGAAATTTTATTCATAAATACACAAAAATAATCTCTTTAAAATAGAATAAAATATAAAATTCTATTTATTTATTTATTTATTTATTTATTTTAAATTTTTAATCTATAGTTAAATCAGCCACTAAGTTCAGCATTTATTTATTTTTAATTTCATCTTTTATGATTTTGATTAAAAAATTCAAATTTATACTTTTAATTTCTGTTTAGCTTAAAAATAGTTTAAAATTGTAGAGAGGAATGTGCTTTTTAACATCTTTTATCTTATAGATTATTATAATATTACTTTAAATTATATCAATTTTGATCAGCTTCTGGAGTTTAACCCCTACAATTCTGAAAAAATTCATTAATTTATATACTAAAATAGATTAATTTAGAATATTTATTATTTATTCAAGCTTTTTGATATTTATTTTAATTTAAGATCAAAAAGAATCTAATTTCTTTTTGAATCAAGGGGTTAATAATTCATTTAAACATGAATGTATGCATGAATGCATAAAATTTAAGTTAGTTGCTATTTATCTTTCAATATTTTTAAAGTATAAATGAGTTTATGGTGTATTTGATAATTATCAAAGCCAGTAAGATTAAAATTTTCTAGTATTCAGCAATAAATTAAAACCATAGATACCTTAATTAAATCAGCTAAATAGATTTTTTTATTTTTTATTGCTGGCCCAAGATATTAATTCATTTAATCTTACAGCTAAATTTGCTCATTAAAGTAAATCAATTGATATTTTATGAATTTATTAACAAATTAATTGAGGTCAATTTCAAGTTATTAAATTAATTCAAATTTAATTTAGATTTTATTTAAATAAGAAAGCCATATGCAAAACAAAATATTTACTTGTACATTTTTTTATTCTAATGTAATTTAAAACATGTTATTCTTATAATAAAATCTATTCAATTATAAACTAAATGAATGAATAAACAACTGAACACAAAACAACGAAATATTTAATAATCAACATTCATTTTTTAATAAGTTATTTAATTTTCATTTAAGATTAAGTAGCTAACATTTATTTATTTATATATTTATTAAATTGTTGCTAGCTTTGATTTTTTATGCCTACCACCCACCCTTAATTTAAAATAGCGACTATAACTATTATTTTTGTATAGACCGCTTTTAGCTGATATAGATGATGATCATTTGCTTGCTTCATTTTCTGTTTCTCTCTAATTTCTTCAGTTCTACATGAGGAATTCTCTCATCAGTTGAGTCTCCTGTGAAGTGCTAACGAAGATAGATGCAGAGATCATAGAGCTGGCCCTAAATCTTTTTAGATCTTGGACCCCAGTTTTCTAAGACAAAGCTATAATTTTCATCCTGCTAAAGACCTTAGGATATTCTGAATTATTGCTCTAAAGAATAGAGTTCGTTAATGTCTTCCTAAGTAAAACGTTCCTTGCTAAAAACTACTGTCATGTGAGGTTTGATACCCTAATCATGAGGTAAATTGGAATCTGATAAATCTACGGCTATAGCTCGACCAACCTTGGTTAATATTCCTCTTGTTTTGTAAACAATTTTTTAATTTGAAGCTCCCTCCATGACAGTTTAAGCAACTATTTTAGCTATTAAATTTTTACGATTTTCCTTTGTATTTTTACTATTTTGTAAAGTTTTTAATAATAATTGAATATCAAATCATATTCTATAGATTAAAATTTAAATAGAATTTAGTTTATTTGAAATAAGATATATATTCATTTATTTTTTCTGATCTATCTTTGTTATGAAACCTGCTGATTACTGTATAATAATTCTTGCTATCCTGAGAAAGAACAAATAGCATGCATGTTTCATTTTTATTTTAGAAAAGGAAGTTTAATGTTCTTGATAAATATTTATTCCTGATAAAATCTGGATAAATCAAAGTTATTTTTCTATATTTCATAAAATATCAAATGTTGAAAAAATGATTATGGATTACTTTAAAATTTAACTAAATATAAATTACTCCTTCAATTATCGACGCATGCTCAAAATATAGAAAATAATAATATTATTTATTTGTTTACTTAAGAGTTTTGTTTTGTTGTTTATAAAATGTAAAGTATTTTAAAAGAGTATTAAAATTTTGTTTCAATAATAATAAATAAAATATACTTTTGATTTTTGCAGGCTATTATGGATTATTTCTGATATAATCTGTATAAATCAAAATTATTTTTCTATATTTCATACTGAAAACTTCCTTAACCAAATAGTTTAAATAATTAAAATGAATTTCTTTAAAATTTACTAAATAAAATGAAACATTTTTTAGCAAAACAATTTCAATGAATTTAATAAAATTAATAATCTTATTTATTTATTTAATTATTTTTATTTGAAAATAAACAACTGTATTACCTAATTTTATATATGCTAAAAAACTAAAAATAATATTAAAATTAATTGAGCAATTAGATTTCAAGTTCAATAAAAATTTTAAATCTATCTATCTACCTAACAAATATAAAAAATAATTCATAAAAGTGTTATAAAAAATAAATATTTTAATTTAAAATTATAAATTTAGTTTTAAAAATAGTAAAAAAGTCTTTCTTTAATTCCTAAATTAAATAAATTATTTTTTATTATATTAATTGAGTTCATAGAAATTATTTATTTAATTCATAAATATTGTAAAAAGCAGAGTAAAATTTCTTTGTTAAATGTTTTTTAGATAATATTTTATTAATATTACTAAATAATATATATAAAGTGATAAAATATATAAATTAGTGAATTAAAGACTATATTTTTTTTATTTAATTATCTCAATTTTAATTCATATTATTAGGAAGATTGTTTTGCTAATTTTTAAGATACTAGCTTTCCATTTCCAACATTTTATTTTTAAGTTTCAATTCTTTTATTTTATTTTTGAAAATTAATTTTTCTTTTTCAAATTAATTCTATTAATCTTAAACCAATTTTTAAAATTAAATTCTTTGCTATTACTTTTCTAAAATAATTTTTTCCAGTTATTAATTTATTTTGGCTATTTCTCCAGATTAATCAAGTTATTTTTAATAATTAGCATCTTAATCACAAACATTTAGAACTATAGGAGTTTTTTAGTTTAAAGAATGCTCTCTAGGTATAGGAAATAGCTCATTAAGATTATTTGGTTACCTCATATTTTACTCACCGTTTTAATGTTTAACTTTTTTTTCATCAATGCTATTATTTTAGTTATTTTTATTAAGTGTTAAGATTTAATATTACTGATCATTAATTGGAGTTATTACTTATACTGCGTACTTACTATTATCATTGGGTTTTACACAGAGTTTTTTATCAATAACAATTTTAAGAATTGTATCTTCAAGATCATTTATATTTTTATAAATATTCAGTCACACTGCACACAGAATTAAATGCTCTTTGAGAGCTTTCGTTTTCTTTTACATCAATTAACTCTATTTCTTTTTGCAATAATGCCTTCTTTAATTCATCAATAAAATTTTTGATTCCACTATTGTGAGAATAAAGTATATTTTTTTCCTTTTTAAAATTAGATTTAGTAAATACAAAGTTTACTTCGACTTTTTGTTTAATATTCTGCTCCATATATTATTTATTTTCTTAATTTTTATTTTTTTTTATGTAAAAATATTTATGAAAATTAAGTCAGCAGACAGAGGAGAATTTCAAGTTAAATTAAAAATAAAAGTATTTTATTTTTTTATTTTACAAATATTATTTTAAGATTTATTAATACTTTTATTAGTTAAAGCAAATGCAAATTCAAATAATGAAGCAAAATCGCTCATTGATGTTTATCTATTTACTTGTTATTTTAAGAAAAAATAATTTTAAATTAAAGGACAATCTTTTAATAAAAAGCTAAAGTATTAATAAAACTTAAACAAAATATTAATTATACTAAAATTATAACTTTATAATAAAATTTTAGAAAAATTTTAAGAATTTTATAAATAAGAAGATTTATTTAGGGAATAAAATTATTCTAAAAGCAATATTTATTCTTTAAAAAGTATTTATTGAGAAAAGTTAGTATCATTTTAGATGAAATTTGTGTAATTTTGATGAGTTTCATATTAAAAAACTCTATTTTTCAATTGAAATAAAGGTTTAATATATGAGAATTAAAAAAAAAAGGAAATCTATTCAATAATATAAAAATATAATAAATTTAATTTAATTAGGATGTTCTATATTTCTTTGTAATATTAGCTAGCTTTAAGCTAATTAAATAAAAAAATAAAAAATTTAAATGATTTAGATATTTATATTTATAATTATATTTAGCAATTATTAGAAGATGGATGAGGATGAAAACAATTTAAAAACAATTAAGGATTACTTACTCATTCTTTTATTTACTCTTTCGAATATTTTTAGTTCTTTCTTTGCGTTTTCGATAAAAAATATAATAATTGTGATTAGAATATCAAGCAAGAATAGCATTGAAATTGAATCATTTCTACCAAATAATTAAAAACGCAAGGCAGTAAATAAATAAATAATATAGCAAGTAAATAGAAAACATTTATAATTGAACAATATATAACTCAAATATGCTTAGACTATATTTTATTTTAATTCATTAATTTGTTAGATATTATTATTATTATTAGTCGTTATTAAAGAAATAATTTTTATCAACTTTTGGAGCTTTTTCTTTTTCCTCAAGTCTCTTTTCCAAATCTTTTATTTTTTATTATTAATCTTAAATTACATCATCTTTTTATTTGATTTTTCTTTCATATTCTTTTACAATCGAATTTTTTTCGTTTTTTGATTTTTCTAATTCTTCTTTTAATCTTTAGATTTCTCTCATATTTGAAGAAGTAGCAGAATCATCCTCCTAACTAGTCCTTGTTTGGAAGTTTTAATTAAATTTAGTTCCATTCATCTAAGCTTGTTAAGCTTATATTTACTAGCAATCTTGCTAATATTAAAATTACATTTAAGGATTAGCAATTTGTTATACATTATTTTAATTTTTTAAAATTTGTTGACCCTTTTACTCTAAAGTATCATTTTTAGGAATTTATTTCATTTATTGCTTAGGTAAAGCATCAGATTTAGGTCTATTCTACACAATTTAGGCTTATTAATTTTGGTTTTGTTAATTATCCTATATATTTTAATTTTCGGATATATTTTTTACTACTACAGTCTTAGTAACATCCTTTGAGGTTGCTGTATAGAGATTGGCTTCTTTTATAATACTAGAGAGTATAATTTCAATATCATTTCTTAATTCCATAGGGAAACTGATTCTTTGTTCTGTGACACTACACTTATTACCGAAAGCACCTTATGATTTATACTAATCAGCTTTAGGAAGTATTTCAATATCTTTTTTATTTAAGTGAAGTTTTAGTAACTTAATATAATTCACAATTTCATTGCTAGCAGTTAATCCAGCTTCCTTGCATATATCTTTATCTAATTTAAAGTGACTTTTCACGAAGTAAAATTCAACATCAGCATATAGTTTACTCATTTTTTTAATTAAATAGTTTTTGCTTCTTTTTAGCTATTTATTAAATATTAAATTAATTATTTAAGATTTATTGATTGATTAATGCCTTTTTATTTGCTTAATTAATATTTTTTGCACTTTGAACAATTAAATTTTGAAATATTTCATTTGTAAAGACAATTATTAAATAAAAGTATTTTAGAAAACTAATTAGTAAAAGTATTTTATTTTTGAATATATCCCTAATTATACTTTTATTTTTAATTGATAATCTAAACTTTTATTTTGACAATTAATCTATATTATATATTAGGGATAGACAGAATATTCGGTTGACCAAATAATATTCGACATTTAGTAAAGTATTTTTGAAATTAATTACTTTTAAAAATAATAAAAATAGTTTTTTGCCTAAATTAAACAAATAAATTATTATCTATTATATTAATTTAGTTAATGTAAATTATACATTTATTTATTTAATTAATAAATATTGTAAAAATCAGAGTAAAATAAAATCTTAGAAAAAAATTTGAAAAGTTATATAAGCAATCAAACAAATAAATAAATAAATGTATTCATTATTAATAGTTTTTTAGATAATATTTTTATTACAATTACTAAATACTTTAAAATAATAAAATAGTGAATCAATCAATGACTGCATTTTTTTTATTTAATTCTCACAATTTTAACTATTATTCTTAATTAAGTAAAGCTTGCTCTTTTTTAAGACATTTGTTTTCAATTTCCAACATTTAATTTTTAAGTTTCAATTCTTTAATTTTACTTTTGAAAATTAACAGTTCTTTTTCAAATTAAATTCTTTGCTATTAATTTTCTAAAATAGTTTTTTCCAGTTACTAATTTAATTTGGCTATTTCTTCAGATTAATCAAGATATTTTTAATAATTAGCATCTTAATCACAAACATTTTGAATTATAGGAGTTTTTTAATATTAAGAATGCTCTCTAGATAGAGGAGAAGGTTTATTAAGATTATTTGGTTACCACATATTTTACTTACCATCTTAATGATTAACTTTTGTTTCTTCAATATTATTATTTTAGTTATTTTTATTAAGTGTTATGATTTAAGATTATTGATCATTAATTGGAGTTATTACTTATACTGCGTACTTACTATTATCATTGGGCTTTACACAGAGTTTTTTATCAATAACAATTTTAAGAATTGTATCTTCAAGATCTTTTATATTTTTATAAACATTCACAGGATATTGTATGAGTTATTTAGTGACACTGCATACAGAATTAAATGCTCTTTGAGAGCTTTCGTTTTCTTTAACATCGATTAACTCTATTTCTTTTGACAATAGTGCCTTCTTTAATTCATCGATAAAATTTTTGATTTCACTATTGTGAGAATAAAGGATATTTTTTTCCTTTTTAAAATTAGATTTAGTAAATACAAAGTTTACTTCGACTTTTTATTTAATATTCTGCTCCATCTATTATTTATTTTCTTAATTTTTATTCATTTTTATGTAAAAATATTTATGGAATTTAAGTCAGCAGACAAGTATACAGAGGAGAAATTAGAAATTTTATTAAAAAAAAGTATTTTATTTTTTATTTTACATATATTATTTTTTGATTAATTAATGAATTTATTAGTTGAAGTAAATGCAAATTCTTACCAAAAATAATGACGCAAGCAAAATCACTCATTGAAATTTGTTTGTTCTTTTGTGAAAAAAACAATTTAAATGTAAATGATATTCTTTTGATAAACAACTAAAGTATTAATAAAACTAAAACAATTTGTATAATAACATTAAAATAATAATGATTAATAAAAAATTTAGAAATACTTTAATAATTTTATAAATAAGAGGTGTATTTAGAGATTGCAAATTACTCTAAAAGCAATACTTTTTAGTGAGAAAAGTTAGTATGATTTTAGATAAAATTTGTGTATTCATGAGTTTCATATTAAAAAATTCTATTTTTGTATTTAAATAAAGGCTTGATAGATGAGAATTAAATATAAAAGGAAATCTATTTGATATTATAAAAATTTTCTTAGCTAATAAATTAAATATTATTAGGATGTTGTATGTTTTTTTTCAATAATAATATCTTTACGCTTACTTATATTAATAAAGAAATAAGATAAAAATATGTCTAAATTAAAGAGATTTAAGTTTAATATGGAAACTAATAATTAAATAAAAATTAAAATAAATTTAAATGATTAGATATTTATATTTATAATAATTTTCAGCATTTATTATATAATGGAAACATATTAAAAATTAATTAACTATCACTCATTCATTTATTTATTTATTCATTTATTTATTTATCCTTTCGAGTATTTTTAGTTCTTTGTTTGCTTTTTCGATAAAAAAATATAATAATTGTAATTAGAATATCAAATAAGAATAGCTTTCAAAATAGAAATATTTGTAAAAAATAATTAAAAACACAAGGCAGTAAATAAATAAATAAATAATATAGCAATTAAATAGAAAATATTAATTGAATTATATATAAACTCATTTATGCTTTAACTATATTTAGATTTATTTTTTAAATTTTGAGTATCTTTCAAATAAATCTTCGTACTTTTTTAAAAAATCATTTTTATCAGCTTCTAAATCTCTTTCTTTTTAATTAAGTCTATATTGCAAAACACTTATTGTTTATTATTAATCTTAAATTACATCATCTTTTTATTTAATTTTTCTTTCATGTTCTTTTGCCATATAATCTTTTTCATTTTTTGATTTTTCTAATTCTTCTTTTAATCTTTAGATTTCTCTATTATTTGAAGAAGCAGGAAAATCATTCTCCTAACTAGTCCTTGTTTCGCAATTTTAATTAATTATAATTTTATTCATTTATGTTTGTTAAACTTATATTTACTAACTATCTTGCAAAATTTAGAATTACATTTAAGGATTATTAATTTGTTATACATTATTTTGATTTCTTAAAATTTGTTGACCATTGAACTCTAAGCTATTATTTTTATGAATCTAATTCATAGGCTGATAAAGTACTGCATCAGAATTTGGTCTATTCTACACAATTTAGGCTTATTGATTTTGGTTTTATTAATTTTCTAATATATCTTAATCTTCTGATATATTTTTTACTACTACAATCTTAGTAACATCCTTTGAGGTTACTGTATAGAGATTAGCTTCTTATACTATGGTGATAAGGATTGTTTCAATATTATTTCTTAATTACCTAGGGAATCTGATTCTTTGTTCTGTCACGCTACACTTATTACCGAAAGCACCTTATGATTTATACTAATCAGTTTTAGGAAGTATTTCAATATCTTTTTTACTTAAGTGAAGTTTTAGTAACTTAATATAATTCACAATTTCATTGCTAGCATTTAATCCAGCTTCCCTGCATATATCTTTTTCTTATTTAAAGTGACTTTTCACGAAGTAAAATTCAACATCAGCCTAAAGTGTACTCATTTTTTTAAATAGTTTTTTGCTACTTATAAATCTATCTTTTTAGCTATTTATAAAATAATTAATTACCTATTTAAGATTGATTAATTTATTGATTGATTGATTGATGGCTTTTTAATTGCTTAATTAATATTTTTTGCACATTGAACTATAGATTAAATGGAGATTTAAAAATATTTCATATGTAAAGACAATTAGTTTTTAAATAAAAGGAAAACTAATTAATTTTTAAAAGTATTTTATTTTTAAAAATATTACTCAAATAAAAATACTTTTATTTTTAATTTATAATCTAAAAACTCTTTATTTATTTATTTATTTATTTATTTATTTATTTATTTATTTATTTATTTATTTTGGCAATCGTCATTTATTTATTTGTTAATAAATAGAAATAAAATTTATTTTAATTTTTCCTTCTATTTACCATGTTTCAGATTGATTGATTATAAAGAGCTAATTTAATATTAAACATAAGTTTGTAATAAAATTCCTTGAAAATTGTAGCCAATTTCAAATAGAAATATAAGCGTTATTTAGTAGAAATTTATTTTAAATATTAAAACTTCAAATAGAATGAAAAAGATGTTTTGTTAATATTAATTTGCAAAGTATCATATTTAAGTTAAAGGAGATTAACATTAATACAAACATATATAAAACTAACTATCTAACAACTATTTATTAATTTTAAAATACTATAGAAAACTATGTATATATCATCGGTTTCTCAAAAATAACTTTCTTAATAAAAGTAAGTGCTAAATTTTAGAATTGCCAAACTTATTCATTTAAATTTGCTAACCAATTCTTTTTTATAAGATATTGAATATTTAAATAAGTTTAATGGAAGGTTTCACTCATCAAATTAAAGAAATATATTTTCTATTTACAATTATTTAGATGGTGGAGATATGGAAAAAGACCCTGTTATTTAATTAATAATAATTTTATAATCCTTTTTTCAATATTTTTTGTAATGGGGTTTGTTTCTTAAGATAAATTTAATTTTAAATATAAATAAAATACAATATTTTTATTCTATTCTTTTAGTGAGATAATTTAAATTATTTAACATTTAATATGTAAAATATAGCAAATTATTTTAAAAGATAATAAGCAATAAATAATATTTATAATTAATTTTTTTGGTTAAAATTCAATGAAATAATTTTTAAGCTATTTTATTTTAATTACTTTGTTTGACTTAGTATAAAATTTTATTCCTCACACTACTTGAAATTATTTAAAGATAGATATTGTTAATATCACATCAGCAAAGTATTTATTCCTTTAAAAAATCTTTCAATTTTATTATTTTTTATTGTTATTTATTTAAAATTTGAAATTTAAATTTATCAATAAAAAATTAAAGAGAAAAAGATTCTTATTGAAATAATAAGAAAAAGAAGAAGAAAAAATAAATGCGAAAAGCAAAAAAATAAGCTTTAAAATCAATTTAATGAGATTGCATCCAAAATATGTAGAAAATAACATTTCTCTTGTTTTTGAGGTACCCGTGAAACCCATTTTTTTCGATAGTAATGCTTAATCTTATAGTTTTTAAGACATCGCTAATATTATTAGATACGAACAAAATTCTAATGTCATCTATCTATCCTTCGCATAAATCGTGATAGCACCCGATTTGAAGATAGAAAGTTGAATTTAAACTGCTTTAGCAGAGTCAGTTTAATCAACTCATAATACTGACTTAACAAATCAGTACGTGACAAGACAAAGTTTTTAAAAGAGAGCAGCACTAATTAGATTAAGCAATTATTAATGAAAAAAATAAATCGAGATTACAGAGAAATAAATAATCTACATAAAAGCAACTCTTTCTTTCCAAAATATATAAAAAGTATTTTTTAAAATAATAGATTAACGACACAAGAAACAAAAAAAAATTAAAATAATATCCTATAAAAAGAATAACTAAATAAATATATATAAAATAAAAACAACTTATCTGAAATAGAAATAAAAGCAAACAAATAACTCAAGAAAGCAACAAACAACTAACTAATTAATTAATAAATATACAATTACATAAATAAATAGATTGATTCAGATAAGAGAAAAATTAAAAACATTAACGAATTAATTATGAAAATAAAAATTAAAAGTTAAATTTAAATATAAAAATACAAAGCGAATAATAATAACTGCTAATAAAAAATGAGCACTAAACAAAATATTTACCTTTAACTTAAATAAATATTTTTTTTCTAATTTTTTATGAATAAAAATAAAATCTATTTGAATATTTTTTAAATTTTTCAATAAAATTCATTTTATTTTATTTGATTTTGAAGTTATTTTTATTGTTTTTTATTCTAAAAAATATTGTAAATTAAAATTGAAAACAAAAGAATATAAAATAAATTACAAAAATGGTTTCTTTATTAGCAAATAATTTTATGGTGAAACAAAAAAAGCAGCAGAAATAAATAGAAAAAATGCAGTCAATAAGTTTACATGTAAATTGTTAATATATTTGAAAAATAAAAGAAAGTATTTATTTATAATTAAATTAGTTAAAATTTTAAATATTATCAGAGTTGATTTCTGGAATTATAAATGTTTTTTCTTATTTCTGTGACCTTCTTGTATTTATCGCAAAGAACTTTGAAATCTTATGATATCTTTTCGTCTGGAAAGTAAAATCTATACCTATTATTATTTAGTTAATTAGTTTAATAGCATATGTAAAATAAATCTAGCAGAAATAGCAATAAATTAATTTACAATAGTCTAACCTCCTGAGCTACTTAGTCATTGTATTGTAAGCCTACTCTTTATAAGTATTTATTCATGCAGAAATGATCCATATAGAAACTTTTACAAATAAGCAAAGCTTGTTCATAATAAAATAATTTATTTTAAGTTTTGTTTGCTCTCTTTAATATTTTCAATTTACATCCTCCGAAGATGATTCTATAACTCATTCTTTTGAACTTAAACATAGTAAAAATGAATGTTGACATTAAAACTAAATTGCTGATATTCATTTCCTTGTTTTCATATCTTCTTAAATCTTTATTCAAACCGCTTTATGATTAAAATTAATTGTAAAAAAATAAACTTAAAAATGTATCGCTAAAAGATGCAATTCTCTATATATAATTAATTATTGCATATAAAATGTTAATATTCTAATAAATTACGAGTATTCTAATTATATCAGAATTTGAGTGACTTTTGATTTCTCCACGTGAAGCTTCATGTAATTCTAATTTATTATTATGGGCACATTAAATAGCGAGCATCAATCAATTCTACTAATTAAACTAATCTATATTCATACTTAAATAATTGAAGGCATTTAGCGAATTTATTCCTGCGATGAAATTTGAATCTTCATCAAATCTAACAAAGTTTATACGAAAAACCCATTTTCCTTTTTAGTTTGCACTTATTGGCTGCTGTTGTTTTTATCCTAGTCCATTTTCTTTCTACTTTGTTTTTATAACAATATTAAATTTCTTAAAGATTTTTTAGCTTATTTGCAAATAATTTAAGAAAATTTATCTTTTATGGATAGCTTAAGAATCAATCAATCTCATAAAAGCAAGCAAACAAATAAATACTTTAGAAAGATCCAACCAAAAAAAAAACAAAAAATAATATTATCGAAAAATAAATAAATAAATGTATTTGGTTTAAAATATTTAATATTCTACTTCTTTTATTAAGTATTATCTATTATTATGGTTTTAATTTATTTTTTTATTATATATAGAATAGGTAAATATTGAGTTTATTTATTATTTTTTTTTGTTAAATTAATTTACAAATTTTGATTTTATATAAAATTATTTAAATTATAAATACCCAAATCAATGATGCTGTATGAATATATAAATCATTCATTGGTTATTGGTTAAATTATTTAAAACTTATAAATTATATTAATTTATTTATTCATTCAGCATCATTTATTTGGGATTTTTAATTTTTAAAATTTTATTAAAATCAAATTGATTTTATTAGTTTTCTATTTTAATTGATGGCAATAGACTCTAATTTATTCATAAATATCAAAATTACAAATGAGATCAGGCATTATTTTGTTAGATTAAACATCTAAAAAAATTATAGCCTGATTAAATATGTAAAAAATTATTAAAGATATCCTTATAAAAATGAATGACATGAATAATAATTTGATCAAGGATTGCCTTAGCATCACTTGATCAATATGGATGGATTCATGCTGAAAATAAATTATCAAAATAAATATCTCATCTAAATCCATTAAAACTGCGATATCAAATATCTACAGAAATAAGAGCTGCAAAAAAGAAATGAAAGAAATAATATAAAAATAATTAGTTATAAAATAGGATTCTTATTTAAGAATTCAAAGAATTACCTTAACAATATCATAGATCAATCAGAATATAACAACATTATAAATTGATTATTTTTTTAATGTTACTTTCATTAAGGTAAAATGAAATTTAGAATAGGATTTATAGAAGACGATTTAATTAACAGTATACATAAATCCTAATAAAAAAGAAAATAACTGAATCAGTGAGTAGCAACATTATTTATTATGCTAAATTTAAATAATTTAATTAGTCTAAATTGATGTAAAATAGCATATTTATTACTTTATAGATTATATATGTAATTAAAAAAATATTGTATTTTAATTATATTCATTACAATAATTTTTAATAGAAATATAAATTTTTATTCTATTATTAACTGGACTTACTCGTATAATTTATTTTTAATTACTATTTCTTTAATTAAGTTTACACCCATTTTTAGGAGGGAGGAAATATTTTTAAAACAAAGAATTATAAAAATAAGATTAATTTGATATACCTTGATCTTGAAGAAATAAGAAATTTTTAATAAAAGGATGATTTTTAAAAAACGATGAAAAAATATTCAAAAATTATTTCCGATTGATTCTTATTCAATAGTACAAATAAATTCTGGAAAATATTTCAAATATTTCATTTTACCATTAAAATCCTCTTTGATTTGTAATTTATTTACTTCCTCCACCCTAAAAAGTGTAATTTCTGAAAAAATTATATTCAAATTTAATAATTAATAAATATACATTCAATTTTTATTTTTTAAATATATTGCTTTTATGCAAGCAATTATAAATATTAAGTTAAGGTTCATGTAAGTTTTCAAAATAAAAGTATTCATAACCAAATTTATTATTTAATCAAAATGCTTAAAATATTTTACCCTTTATTAATTAATGAGGATACATAGTAAATATTTTAAAAATCATATTATTGTTTACATAATTAAATTTATTAATATCTTTTAAAAAGTTAATAACTAAAAACTAAATAAAAAAACTTTATTAATTTTGTATAAAAATATTATCAACTTAATTAAAAAAGTTAAATGCTGGATATGGATTTAAAATCCATATCATTATAAATTATAAAAGCTAGTTAAAATAAACTAAAATATAACAAAATTAATTTACATGAACTAAATAAATTGTTGGTAGATAATAAAATTGTAAGACTAACTTTATATTTTTAAAAATGTATTCTTTCTTTTTGAAGCTATTTTTTATTTTAATATTTAATATATCAGCTTGATGTCAGCTATTTTTTAGAAGAAGAAGTAGAGGCTACTCGATCTCTAATAATTTTATTTTACTTCGTTTCATTATTTTCTCCTTTATCCTTATAATAATCAGAAAATAAATTTCCAAGGTTACCATTTGGTTTGAAAACAAAATTTGGGCTTCTAGATTGGTTCATTTTAAAATCATTTGAATCTGATGTGTATTATGAGAAAATTTCGTTGGTTTTATGATTATTACTGTATCCGTATTTCCATGCTAAAGAAGACTATTAGCTTTGTTGTTTTTAATTTAATGACTAAAGGGTTGAGTTAAATAAAGAATGTGATTGTTTTCTTGAATGAAAAGCGTTTTCGTGAGTGCTGACGCTACTTGTTGTTTTCTACAAACCTAACTACTGGGAATTAAAGAAATTTACTTAGTTCATTGGGGAATTCTATTGACTGTACATAAAACCTGTTTTAGAAAACTATTAATTGAAGGTATTTTAAGGACTGCAAACTCTATTAATAGGACTATTAAGATTATTTTAAAACTAGCTATTTAGCTTCTAAAGAGGAATTCTTTGCTTAATGTTGATGTTTTAAACTAAAGTTGAATTTTATTTTTATGGAATATTCATAGAAATTAGTTTATGATTTTTACTATTGATTTGTTCTTAATCCATATTATTGAAAAATATAGAATTAAAGTTTAATGATATATTCTATGGACTTTAGATTCTTTTAAAAACTAATTTTGGAGAATCTCTTCCATTATTTTAAATTAATGCATTTTAGTTTTTATTATTTTTATGTATTGCTCTTTCTCTTTCTGTTGATTGAGCCCTTAATTCTTTCTACTAAGTGTCATCATTAGGTTTTTTAATTCTATTCACTGAAGAAGCTGTGTTTGATCTTTGAATTTAAGGCTACAGGCGACCAACTAATTCATTTTTATATTCTTAGCTCTAATGACTACTTTTTTGCTTAATTGGTTTGTTATCAGTTGTTCCTTCATTTTGATTTTATGGATATTCAAAATAAAGGTTATTGAATTTTGTTTTTAGGTAGTTTTTAAAGTTTTTGTAATCAAATCTCTACTATTTGAATTTCTCCTTTTGGTCAATTACTAATTTTTCTTCTTGCGGAGTAGGTTTGAATATTTGATTCTTATCAAATGCATCTTATCCATTGCTAGCACTTATCCAAGGAGCTTAGCTTATTTTTTTATCTGCAATCGATTACTAAATCTTCTATTTCAGAGGAACAAAAGTAAATTTATTTATTTCTTTTAACTCCTTTTTAATGTTTCAGAAAAAATAAATGTTAGTTAAAACTTTGCTAAAAATTAAATAAACAAACAAACAAACAAACAAAATGGAATGAAAATAAATTTCTTACTTATTCAGGTTAGACAAATTTAGTTGGTGAGAATAAATCTGAAGGTTGAAATATCTGTCTGAATTATTTGGGATGCTGAATTAATCCTTGAGACTTTTTATTTATTTATTTGTAAAGAAATGAGTTTTTTAACAATTTGATCTGATTGATTCAATTCAAAAATTGATTTTTAAAATTTATTAAATTAATTATCTTAATAACATTTTACTTGTTCGGCTCTAATTTTAATCTTTTCTAATTTTCTGAGCTGCTTTTAATCTGCGATGTCTTACTACTTTTACTCTAGGTAGATCTATCTATTTTGAATCAGCTATTGCTAAAGTTATTCTTTATTGATTTAGTTTTTTTTAAAAGCAATCTTATCAAATATTTAAGATGATTTTTTTATCTCTTGTTCTACTGTTGCATTCTCTAAATTAGAAACGCTTTCAATTGTTTATAATATTGAAGCTTGATGATTCATTTTTACTTCTAACGAGATAAATAACTTGTTTTACTTTAACAATTAACAAACTGATTTCTAAATTTATTTTGATTTACTTTTTTAAAATTAACAAACAAACAAAAAACAAATAAATAAATGATTTATTCTACTAATTATTTGATTAGTAAATTTTAACAATAAATAGTTAATCAAATTTCTTTTGACTTTTTAGATAGAATTATGCTTGAAATTGATAAGAATTCTTGTTTTATTATAAATAAGAAACTACCTATAAACCAAAATATACAAATAAATACTTTCAAGCAAGTAGCATTTTGTTTATTTTATATAAGGAATCATATTTTATTTATATATACATATATATATAAATGATTACTCATATTTGATTAATTAACTTTGATTTATATTTAATATTTTTTATACTTCTACTAATATTTATTAAGTAATAATTAAAATTAAAGTTGAAAGTATAACTGATTCTACTTATATTTTAATTTCGATGATGTATTTATTTTTAACTTGCATATTAGCCATTAAATTGCTTAACATTCATCAAACTTCTACTAAATTTCAGGGTTTTAATTAAAAAAATAAGATTGAGCTGATTAAATTTGATCGTAATGTATTTTTTATTAATTAGAAATGAGTAAAGAGTAATCTAAATAAAAAAATTCATATTTAGTAATAAAAACCGTATTTTATTAAAAAGTGTGTTATTTACTAAATAATTAAGTGTAAAGACCATTATACTTTGGCAGCAGGTTTATTTTAAAATTAGGTTATTCTCATTTTTAAATAAATCATTTTGTTAGTCAATAAGGAAACCCAAAACAAAAGCATTGAAATGTAAAACATTTTAAAATTGAAAAAGGTAAAAAAGAATAAATTAAAATAAAAAGATATTAAAATACATTTTAATAATTAATGTTTTCTCTCAAATTTGGGCAATTTAATATGTTAGAAAGAGTAAAGTCAGCAATTAATTTCTAAAACATAAAAAATTGAAGTCTTTGTTTGGTAAATAAACCAAACAAATTAGAACAAGCAAAATAAAAATGTATTTGATTTGAATTTAAAAATATTTAGATTACTTGAATCCATTGAATTATTTCTACCTTGTTATCATGAATTACCAAATATAAAATTTTTATTGTATACTAAAATAATCTTTTAGATTTCATCAAATGTAAGCTTTAAAGTGCATTTTGAATGTAAAATCAAAAATTTTAATTTTTTGAATTATAATTATTGAAAAAAAATGTAATTTCTGATACAACAATTTCTGATTGTTTTACACATTTTTCTTTATTTAATCTAAATTAACTAAGAATACAGTAAATTCCCTTACCGAGTATTCATTTGATTATTTACCCCAACAAAAATTTAAAGTTACTTAAATAAAAGTTTTAATTGTATTAGATTTTATTATTTAATTCTATTTAAAAGAATTATAGAATTCATTTGGTTTTTAAATAGTTAATTACTTATTTAATTTCATCAGTTGTTGTTGAATTCCACAAAATATACAAGTAAAAATAAATGTGCTTTAAGACAAACAAACACATATTGCATATGTAATTATTTCTTATTCGAAAATAAAACATTCATTTATTTTTCACTTAGATGCGCTGTTGAAAATTTTCAAATTCCATTAATTGCTATTGTTTATTGTTACTGCTCAATATTTTTAAATTTAAAAAAAATTAAACTGTAATCTTTAAAAGAGCTATTCAACAACCAAAATACAAAATTTATTAATTTTTTAATAAAGAATTTGCTATTTAAATTAAAGTAAATGATAAGATTAACAAGTTTCTTTAATAGTCAAATCATACATACAAGATCTATTTAAATTTTTCATTTTTTTATTCAAACAAAAGATTGATAAAGACTTTTATTCAAATTCTTTTCATTAAAACTCAATAGATTATTTCTAATGATTGATTGCTGTTTTTATTACTAAATATAGGGTAGATATTTTCATTTTTATATTATTGAAAACATGCAACATCTTACTTAGGATTAGATCTTTTTTAGAAATATGATAAATAAATATCCTTGATTATATTTGAATTATGAAAATACAAATAGGTATTTTTTTTATTTTTTTTTGAAATGTGAAGATTTATAAATAATTAATTACTTACAAAATATATTAGAAATAGTAGAGATTTAATGTGAGTTCATGAAAAAAGAAGAATAGCTTACTTCTGAGAGCGATTGAAAAAATTTAATTTATCATTAAAGAGTGAGGCAGTGGTTGGCATGCTGATAGATAAACTTAGTTACAGAAAATTTGAAATTAATTTACTCTCATTAAATTAGAAAAAAAATGTAACAAAAGAAATCCATAAAGTTAAAATAAAAAAACAAAATAGCAAGTTATTCGCTAACCATTTATTTGCAGTAAATTATAAAGGTGATTTTATTATTTCCTATTGGTGTTTTACTACTATTAGCTATTAGCATTTACAACATAATTGTTTTTATTGAGTAAAAAATATTAAGATTAATATTCCTTTTTTTCTTTTGAATTTTGATTGGGGTTACTCAATATTGATAATAATTTACTTAAAATAAGAACAAAACAGCACAATTATGAAATACCATTTTTATTACTATTCGCTAAAACCGAGTTTGTACTTGATATGGAACTCATTTCTTCTTGGTACTTAAAATATAAACAAGAAATTATATCATTAAAAGAGATTACAGTTTACAATATGCACAATTACTCAATTTTGCATATGAATGTGATTATTATAAAACTTCGAACAAAAACAGCAGATTTTGATAATTTAAATAGATCCAAATTCGTTTACAAAATCATTTTATTCAAACAAAAAATTATTAACTAAAAGCCACCAAAATATTTTTATTTTAAAACTGTGCTAAGCCGTTTAAAAGCGAAGGTTTTCTTTTTTTGAACAATTAATTTCTTTGGTTTTAATTTGTTTTAAAAGTAATGAAAATGCTTTAAATAAAAACACGATAATCTATTATAAAACGTTTTAGTTTTAACTTTAGAACCTTAGATATAAAAAACTGAGAGTTGATCCAACTTACGAATTGCTAAGATTGAGTAGTTAATTTAATATTTTAATTAGGAAAGTAATGTTTCTTACACATAAGAATGAATTAGATATAATAATCTATAGCTTACATTAATTTTGTTGATTGATTTAACTTTAAATTACCTACAAATATTACAATAATCTGATTGAGTAGATTGAATATTCATTTTTTATAAACGAGTAGGGTATTAATTGACAAGTTGATGTACATTTAAAACACTTAAAATTTGCTAATATAGCAAAAATGTATTATTTCGTTGAAGTATATTTAAAACTGAATACCAAAATTCCTTTGAGAGAGAACCTCGAACTTCTTCTTGTTTAAATAAATACTTATAGGTATAACATTTCAAACAGACAAAAATGCATAGAAAAAGAGCGATAAAAAAGCGCTGATCTATTTATTTACATGTGGTTTTAAAATAATTTTAATCTTGCACGATAAAAATTATCGTTATTGCAATTTATTTTAACATATTGATTAATTCTTATTTCATTTATGGGATTATTAAAAATTCTATCTTGCTAGCTTATTCATTTACAGATTACATTTTACAATTACAATCTATTACCAATATTTCATGCAAAATGCAAAGGACATACATACATACAAACAAACAAACATTATAAAGACTAAGTGATAACTTTATCTGCAAAATGGATTCATAGAATTTTTATTAGCTTTTAAGCAATAAAAATAAAAAATATTTTTGAAACGAATGCATAATTGCTACCTAAACAAGAAATCATATTTAAAAAACAAAGGGCAGCGCTATACAACTTGTGTATTTTTTGAATTTAGAATAAACTCGTTTTCATCACTTAAATGTCTAAATGTTATTTGTTTGATTATCTTAAAACTCTTAATGAAACAATATGGAATGTTGCTTTTAAAGTAAGTATTTGGTACTGCAAAGAAGGTTTATTTAAATGTTAGTTCAAAGTATTGAGTTATTCTAATTAATTCTAATGGATTTCATCAATTGGAGTGACACAAAAATTAGAGAGGAGTAATCTGTAAGGATCAAAGGAATAGAGGGTTTGCATTTCTTTGAAGTTCGTCCATTTAATACTCACAAGTAAATTTAATTAATGAGCATTACATTGTTTAATGGTAATTTAAAGCAATTATAATATAAATTACTCAAAATGTAAATCCTAATTTTCATTAAAAGCACCAATTAATTTTTATCAGTAATAATGAGATCGAGAAGGCCATTTTGACAAAGCTTAAACGATCTTTTAAAATTCACCATGTTATTCCTGCTTAAGATAATTTGCGCAAGCCTTCCTGCAGGTGCTTCCTGCGCAAAACTAAAGGAAAAGTGATAAATAAAAAAGTAAAGAAAGTATATAAAAATAATGATTGATTATAGATCTTTAATAAAATCTCTTACTACTATAAGCTCTGTAAACAAAAAATTTTCATTAAATCGAATCAGAAGCTTAATTCTACATAATAAAAAGACTGCAAAATACTTAATTCTACCTTTTCTGAAGAGTTTTCATCAAATTTTTAAACATTTTCTTCATGTTTAAATGCAAAAATATAGATGCTTTTCAAAAAAGGCCAATATTCCCCAATAGCTAAATATAATAGAGGAAGTTAAAAATTTGAGAAAATAGGCTTTTTTTCAATGAAATAAAAAGCTTTTCTAATACTTCTCAAAGACTCTTTCTTTCTGAATATCATCAAGTCCTAACTCAAGCTGATTTTAGATAAATGAAAAATATCAATCTAAAATGCAAAAGCATACGAGTCTGCTTGCATTATTTGGTGCTGTTTTATGCAAAAAAAAAATGGATTGACTTAAATTGTTTAAAATGCATTGAGGGGAGAAAAAAAAATTTTATTAATTCTACGAAATCAGACGTTCATATCTTGAATAAAATGACGATGAAGATATATATATATGTATATCAGAGGGAGGGGAAAAATTAAATCAGTTTGCTTAAAATTCCAGATTTTTAAAAAAGAAAACCAGCTATAATAAGGCTGGGTCATTTTTCGATTAAATTAAAAAATAAAATAGACAAATAGTTAGCTAGCTATATTGGAATTTTATCATTAGATGGAACAGTACTTTTAAGGTAGGAGGAAATAAATAAATAGGTATAGCCTAAAAGGGATTTCCCTTTTTTTACACGTAATTCTCACTATTATATTGATAGGTTAGCAAAATTAAAAAATGATGCAATATTGTGACACTTTTAAAATGGTTATGTCATCATATAAACATGTATTAACAAATTAGCGAGAATCATTTGAGCTATATCTATTAGCCAACGAACGATTAATTGTTTTGTCTATTTTATTGATAAATTTAAATTAGAAAATATTATTAATCAACGATTTTTTCTTTCATTTTAAACTCTTTTATACTTTGATATCTCACCTAAATTTGTAAATTATGAAGGCTTGCAATAAGCAAAATAATGAAAATATAAAAACTAATGTAGATAGTAACAACATGAAAATAATTTGCTAGCTTTAAGTTTGGATGTTATCCATTAAAACATTTGATTGAAATATGGTAACGAAATAAATTAATAGATATTAATAATTAAGATAATCATATTTTGTTTCAATAGAATGATTGATTAATATGAATCAATCATCCCAACGATATTATTGGTTGATTGGTCTGTAGAGAAAATTAATGAATAATTTGTTTTTATATATCCTTTAAATATTCTTTGTCTCTATATTTTTTTCTAGAATTTTAAGACTAACCCAAGATAAAAAAATATTTTTTAATAATATTTTTATTTCAATTCTCATTTTAATGTTATGAATCGACCTGAAGGACTCTAATTGTGAAACTCTTTTCAACATTTAACTGTTTTAGTCTTTAACGGGTAAGTGAAAGCGGGTGAGGATAGCGCCAAAATAAAATAATTGAATAAAAGAAAAAAGAATATTAAGAGAGAAAATGAATTTTGAAATTTTAATTATAATCATTCTCTCTCTCTCTCTCTACCCAAGCCTAAATAAGAAATTTAAAAGTAGTATTTGTTTTTTATTTATTCGTTTTATTGCTTAATGATATAGAATTATCTAATAAATACTTTATTATCAACTCACTTAGTATTATTTTTGGTTAGTATTCTAAAAACAAATATATGAGGGTAGCTAGCACATATTTAAAAAACAAATTTATAAAATTATGAGAAAATAAATAATAAGATATAAAAATAGGCGTTTATGTATGTATCTATCTATGTATATGATTTGGGTAATAAAATTTGTGTTTAAAGTTAAAATGAATGAATGGGTGATTGACAGATTGAGTGAGTGAGTCAATGAATGAATGGGGAATAAAGAAAAAGTTTTGAAAAAATAAATAAGATGGGAAGAATAATTAAATGAAGGAATTGCGTAAAAGAGAACTAACATAAGGAAGAAATAAGAAATTAAAATAGATAAAAGAGAAAATGATAGTGGGGGAGGAGTATCGAGTATTGAATAAATTATAAGCTAAATTATAAATTATTAGTTTTGATAGAGCACTCACTGAATGTTCCAATTAATTACTTTGATTGAGTGATTAATTTAATTAATTAATAAATTAATTAATTAGCATTCCTTTAATTATATTTGAATTCTTATTGATATGTTAATTTAACAATTTTCCTTTCTTTTTTGAAAGCAAAAAGGTAAATAATTCACAAAAAACAAACTTTGCATCTGCGAAAAATAATAGTGTAAATTTTGCATCAAAAAATCTTAAAGAAAGCGAAAAAGTAAAAGTAAGAAAGAAAAAGCAAAAAAAAAATCATTATCTTTCAACTATCAAACTGTAAATTAAATTTCATTATTATTTTTATAAGTATAACCTCTTATTATGGTTACAATTACAATATGACCAATTCAAATCTACTCTTAATTACTTTTGTTATAACCATCCTCTGCATCAATGAACCTCACTTTCTTAAAATATCTCCATTTTCATCCTTCCTTAATAATTGTCAAAATCCCAATCCCACTTTCCTTACCTAGCAGGATGATTTCAAATTTTTCTTTATTCCGCGTTTGCTGCAAAACAGCTAACAAACTAACTAACAAACCTAACTAATCAATCAATCTTAATTTATTTTGAATGCAGTCTAGATACTTATTCATTTATTCTTAAATACACAAAATCATTCTTTAAGTAAAGGCAAATTAAAATAATAACCTTTTATTTTATTAATCTTAGAATATACTCAATCAATTCCACACCTATTCTTAAATATGAGCGAGTCATCTGGTGAAAACGATAACAATTCATACCCTCAAGGCAACGTCCCACAGGATAAAAACTGGGAATGGATTGCATGTGTTTACGACATGAAAAGATCAACTCCTGAATCTGAAATTACATGGAATCTCTCACCCTCTATTATGTTAACACTACCTTCAGAGGTAAAGACAATTTCATAATTGCATTTTAATTATTATGAAAAAGATCTTTAATTAAATTAAATTCTTTACTAATCTTCTTGATTTATTTATTTGTTTTTTCTTCATTCATTCATTTATCGCATTTTCCTCTTTCCTCTCTTAAATTTGATTAATAAACAGGCTATTTTTATTGCCTATTCATTTCTCTTTCTTTAAAAATATGACATTTTTTTTCCTTCTTATCGAGCATTCAATTCCTAAATACTTATACAACATCTTTAGAAAATGTCCTCTTGATACCAAAGATGTCTTAATAGACACGACTTTGGTTTTATAAAATAATTTCAACTTAAATTTTCGCTTTCTATTGATCACATTAAATCATTTTTAATCATATAAATTTTACAAAATAGTAAAATGTCCAACCCAAAGTAGATTTAATTATTGAAAGCTCAAAGCAGTTCATTTATTCTGAAGGCTTGGGATGGAACTGGCATAAATCTTGGAACATTCCTGATATTCATTGCACACTTGATGTAAATATTTTTAGCAAATTATTTGAATTGTTTTGTATCTCAATCAAAGTTGCATTTAGCGTTTAAGATCTTTCACCTATCATCAAATCTCTCTTAAGCAATTAAAATTATTAGCATTCTAGTTTATTTAAAGAAAGTAAAAATGAAGAGAAGATCATTTTAAAAGCTTAAATTCTTTTCAAACAAGAAAAAAGCAAATATTTTGCACTTTGCATATATGAAAAAGGTCTTTTTTACAATGCGAAATATAAATTAAAGCACTACAGAAAAAAAATGAAAAATAAAAAGAGCTTCTATGAAAATGCAATTTTGTTGATTTAAAGAAAACGAAAAATCCCAACTAACAATTAAAAACCCATATTTTATCATATAAATAGATTAGAGATCCTCTCACAAACGAAAAGCTCCTTCCTCCTTCTAAGATTTATGTAAATAATTGAATATATTTAGACAATATTTATTTTAGAAAGTTGTAAAAATAAAAAATTAAAATTTCAATTGTTTTTTTAATTAGGCTGAAATTTACGTTGTTAGAGCCGTCATCAATTAGATTCATACTTTCCACTTGGTTGATGTTGGTATTAAGGGAGGTAACAGATCTGAATTTGATAGCTCAAGATGCGTTTTCACAGGTTTAAAGTTTGATACAACTTCATACAATCATGAAGTAATTAAAATAAATGATTAATTTGGTTTCTTTTACAGATACAATTAAACCTCAAAAATAGAAAAATAACAATATGAACCCTTCTGCAATTTTGAGTTATTATATTTTAATGTCAAGCCTTTTTCTCATTAAAGGACAAGCAAAAACGATTTATTTATTGATAAATTGAGTGATAGATAGATTAATAATATGATGAACAAGCAAAATACTGTCAAAAAGTTGCTAGTTTTATAATATGACAAGTTGATGAAAACTTGGTCATACTTAAATAATATTTGTGAATGAAAAAAATAATTATAAAAAAATAAATCTTAATAAAAACTGACAGAATAAATCATTAATTGCATTAAAAATAAATATAAATAAGTAGATTGATAGATAGATATAGACCTAGTATTGGAGTGAGCATATTTTAATTTAGTATCTATCAATCAATCAATCAATATTTATATCATTATTTTCAATTAAATAAGAAGATAAAATTTTAACATAAGAAACATCAGTTCTCACTCACTCACTCACTCATTAATTTATATCAAATAAATTTTATCATAAATTATATTGCTGATTTTAATTAATTTGATTAAACTCAATTATTTTTTATTCTAATAAATTAGGGTTCTAAATTTCACTTAGTCATTGTCGTGTATCTTAACTAGAACAAGTTTGAACACCCTAAAATTTTAGAATCTCGTATTTCACCTCCTATTTTTGTTGATTCCAGAAAGTCTGCAAGAGATACTCAACAATAAAAGGTAACAATTTATTAATCGGTGCGCTTTGTAATATTTTATTTATGTCCCTATATTAATTAAAATATAGGCTTAGAAATTAAGCTCTTTCATTGATCCCTTCTTACCTGAACAATTGGACAAGAAATTTGTCAAAAGAGAGAGTAAGAGAAAGTATAACTAAGATGAGCCTATTGACAATAACGTCGAAGGTCTAAGCAATTTCTTCAGTGCTCCCAACATTCGTCACAAAGTGAAGCATCCTCTTTTCTTGGCTATTAAATTCAGCAGCTGTGTTAAAATTTATTACAATATCAATATCATTCCTTAGAATAGTGTAATTAATTAATTATTTATTTATTACTTTTATTTATTAAAAAATTAAATTAAATAATTTAATTCTGAAAATTTTCTTTTTTTAAAGAATCATGAGAAGTTCGTTGAAGTCATGCAAAAGTAATTAATGGAAGCTTACAACAGATCTAGTACAAATACAAATATTAATATTGAAGAAAAGCCTTTGATTTTAACCATAGAACATACTCTTACATAATAAAGCTTCAAACAAAAAAAGGTAATAAATTTTTTTTAAATATTTGTTAAAGTTTACTAAAATGATTATTTTATCTACAGATTAATGAATTTTTGGAACCCTTGCACGGTGATGTTCTTCATGTTATGATTGATCCTGTCAATATTCCTAAAAATTTCAGAAAACTTGAAGATATTGAAGGCGTGAAGGAGGCTTACAAAAAAGTTTATCCCAAGATTTCTTAATAAAAATTCTCTCAAGGTTGTGAAGATGATGATGAAAGCAGCAGAGGTCATAAAAATTCAAAAGTAAAAGTTGAAAAAGAGGGAAAGAAAAATTACCAAAGTGATGATTCAGATGATGAATACTAAGGTGCTAATCCTAGTAAAAAAATTAAAGCAAATGACGATCAACTTCAATCTGTTATAGATGGCAAAAAACTCTAAATTAAGAATCCTGCTCAATAATCAGAAATCGTTCTTAACCAAAGCAACTAAAACACTCAATAAGCAAAAAGTATGATTTTGTAAGGAGCTAAGCCTTAAAAGGAAAAAGTCACTAAAGGTGGTGAAAAGGCTGCTCCTACTAAATAAGCTGCAGAAGAAACTCCAAAGGCAACTAAGGGTTAAAGAGGTAAAAAAGGCGCCAAAAACGCCCCACCCAATCCTAGTGAACCTACTTCAATGCCATCTTCTTAAAATCTTGTTTCTTAATCTCAGTTGCCAACATAGGTTCCTTCTACCTCACAATTCCCCTAACAAAGTCTCAACTCAGCTTTACCACCTACTTAAAACATGAATGCAAGTGGAAGTCAACCCTCTGCTACAAACCCTAATATGCAATGGTCATAGCACTCTGCTAATCCCAACATCTAGAAACCTCCTCTTAACAATTCTCAATAGATGTATCCTGGTGCTGATTTAGCTGCCTAACAATAAATTAAACCTGGTACCTTCCCTCAAGCCGGTTAGTAAGGATTTGGTGTCTAATAATATGGAGCTTAATAAGGTGCACCAATAAATGGATAAATTGCTGATATTAATGGTTTTGATTCATCTAAGCCAGTTAACTAACCTGGTATGTATAATTAGTAATAATATGGATAACCAACTCCAGGTATTTAGGGTGGCTAATAGTAATTAAATGGCATGTAAGTTCCACCTGCTCGTCCTGGATAATAAGTAGCTGGATATCCTTAAAATCAAATGGGTGCTCACTAGCAAAGTGTTGTTGCTCCTGGCCAAGGCTAAGGAGCTTATTTAAATGGAAGTGGTTAAATTCCTGGATAAATTTAATAACCAGGAATGGGTGGTGTTGCTTAAAACTAATACAACCAAATAAATAAGCCAGGATAAGTACCACAACTAGGATCTAAAGATAGCTATGAAGATCCTACCGTTTAAGCTAGAGGAGCAGCAAATCCAGCCTCTCTTTAAGGTCAATTCAAGTAACCTGCTGTTGCTGGCACTAATGCTACTCACTTAAATCAATCTTAGAATTATATGGGCGGTGTAAATCCTACTGGTGTAGCTGGTCCTTTAAATGACCCAACTGGTGTTGTTGCAGATCCTACTGATCCCACAAAGTAACACCCTCCTCATTCATAATAAGCATACAATATGGGATAGCCAGGTCTTTAATAGCAAGGATCTTAAATTAATCAACAATATACTCAATAATAATAATATCAACATATGCAATAGCGTAATGGATCACAATAACTTGTACAACCATAATAGCAATAATAACAACAAAATAGATTTATGGCCAACTAAATTGGTTAACAAAAGGTATTGACCTAAGGAAACCAATTCTATGACCAATAACATACCAACCAATTTATATAAAACAATACAGAAATGAACCAATACGGTAACAATAATGGTTATATATAAAATCCTTAAGGAACTTAGTAATACTAAATACCATAAATGGGAGGCTAAAATTTCGGCAATTACTATGATGATGAAGTTCAGTAATTTGATTACTAGAATAACTAATATAATAGATATAATTCTGCCTCACAAGGTCAATTTTAATTTGGACAAGGCCAACAAGCTCAAAATGGTTAGTATAACAATTATTAAAACTACCAATAGGGACATTAGAATTTAAATAACTAATACGGTTATAACTAGAATGCTCAACAATATAATTTCCAATAAAACGATCAATAATTCTACTTGAAACAAAATGTCAATCCTCAATTCTCCTAATACTATTAGCAACAACAATAATAATAGGTTCAATAACCTAACTAACAAGACCTCTTAAACTAAGGCATCTAATACAACTAAATGAGAGCTCATAGCAATTCAATTCCTTAATAAGGATATTTCAAGGAGGACGACTATTAATGAAGAATCTGAAAAGAGAATAACTAACTATCAATAATTGCGCCTACTTTAAAATTTTTAAATTTTTTATTAGTTAAAAAGAAGAATTAATCTATCAAACAAACAAATTATTAATTTTTTATGGAGATTAATTAATTATAATAAGAAATATTTTAAGAATTCGTAGTATTAATAAAATAAAACAAACATAAATATATGATTTAATAAATAAAAAGATAATAAAAAAAATTTATATACAATGTAAAAATATTACATATTCAAATTTATATACATTGTTATCAATCAAATCTAATTTAGTTATATTCTTTTTACTCTCTTATCTCAATTTATTTTTTCAAACACAATTTTTGATTAATTTATTATCATTCTTTGTAAAAATAAATATATACTGTTAATACTATATTTAAGATAAAATTAAATAATTTTTAAATTTTAAATGAACATATTTTTTTTTTGAAAAATAAAGTTTTTTTCATTTTCCATTACTAATATAATGCTTTTATTAAGCATACGGTGACATGTAAATCTTTAAACCCAAATATATATTTATATGTTCATATAAAAAGATTTTTGAAAAATATTGGTAATTAATTAATTAATTATATACAAAATATATATATACATCATGAATTTTTAACATAAAAGTAATAATTTAATTTTATTTTCATCTTTTATTGATTTAATTAACTTTATACAAATTTTTCTATTCAATTAATTAGCAGGTTTAAAAGAAAATAATGAGTAATTAACTTAATCACTATTTATTTGCTGCATTCGATTTATTTGGTTTAATATTTTCAATTTTCTAATTATCTACCAAAAATTCTGAAACACCAACAACATTTTAATTATACATTTCATTTTATCCAAATTAGTCTAAATAGTCTTTTTTCATTGCTATTTTCAAAGACTTTTAATTTAACTAAGGCTTTTGATTTTATAAAATGATTTTAAAATATTAAAAATATTAGGTTTGAATTAATTAATTAAAACAAACAATTAAAATTTATTTAAAATATAAAATAACTTTAATTTATTTTAACAATTGTTAATTCTTTATTTTACTTTATTAAAGATAAAAATAATAATTCAAATAAATTACTGAAAAAGTGAAGTTGTTTTATTAAGAGTTTTTTAAGGGTTTATTTGTTTTGCTGTTACCAAATAGAATCAAATGTCTATCTTATGCATTCATTTAATTAAAATATGTATTAAAACCTTCATAAAACTACTAAAAGTCTAGCTCTAAACACCTTTTATCAATTTCCTCAAGTATCGGCAGCAGAAGAATGACTACATTTTTATCTATTTTCTCAATTGCTATTTTATTTCCTGAAATAAATCCATCACAGTCATCATCTAATTTGTTAAAGAGTTCTTCTATCTTTCTTTTTCTTTACCTTTCTACTAAATTATTTGTCTGCTCACTTAAATGAATTTATTATTTTTACTAGTTTCTTTTTTTTTCTTCTTCCTATGCAAAATTTTTAATTAAATTTCAGTGTTTTAATAAGAAGAAATTCAACAAGTAAGATAGAAATTAAGTAAGTAAATATGTAAATAAATATTAATGAAAATACCTCTTATTGCTTTTTCTTTTTTTCATTTAAACTATAAAGTTCTTCAAATATTTAATTGTTACTCCTTTTCTATAAAGAAATGTTTTAAATAAAAATTAAATAAATTAAAAATGAAATTTACTTCACTTCCATTCTTCTAGATGATATTTGGTTCAAATAACTTTTTTCCAGTAGTTATGTCGACATTTTAATGTAAAAATTGCATATTCTTAGCTTTTTAATTCTTTTTCTCAATATATTCTTTGTTTCTTTCTAAAAAGCTACCTGTGATGTTCATTTTTATCTTATCTTATTTATTTGTGATTGGCTAAAAAGTACACTCTTTTTCTCTTTTATTTTTACAAATAAAATTAATTTAATTTTTTATGCTAATCTATTAAATAAACATTTTATATCTTCTTATTAATTAATTAATACTAATGAATTATCAAACAAACATAAACTAAATAAAAGTTTCATTTAACAAAAAATATATAAATTTAAATATAATTTTCTTAAAAGATAAAAAAAATTAATTAATTAATAAATAAATTTATATTTTGTTCGATTTTTATTTTTTAAATAAATTGAATTTGGAAATGATTACAATTCTTTTGAGGAAGAAGAGGGTATAGAAACCTATTATTTCTCAGCCTATTTAATTTTAGATTCAAAGTATAGATTACTATAAACATCCTTGAAGTTCCTATATTGCTTTAGGCAATCACCCAAAGATCTGCTTATTTAATTTATTTGAGGTTAAAAAGTGCATTGCTCTAGCTCTTTCTATTAATAGTATTGTTTAATCATACTAATTTTAAAATTCTTGATGTAACTATCTTTTTAGCCTGGCTCTTCTCCTTTTTCTCTCTTTTTTTTCTAAAGATTTCACATTTAAATGTGAATACATAAATAAATTAAACAACATACGACTATTTCTGCAGATTTCTAATTTATGATGGGGTATTGTTTTAACTTTTTTAGTTCTTCTTCTTGTCTTTGCTTTTCCTATTTTTCTAACTATTCTTATTCTTCACTAATGCATCATTTTTTTAAATAAAAATTATATTTTCATTAATTAAATAAGAATATTTGATTACATTTTCTTCCTTCGCTCTTTCTCAAATTAGTTATATAATCTAACTCCTGGATTATTATTATGCTAAATATTTGAATTAGTAAAGTTTGATAGACTCTAATTAGCATATACTCTGTCAAAAAATCCAAATTAACTATTCTTTGCTTGTGAAATTCCAGTCTTTATAAAGGATTAAAAATAATAATTAACAAGGAACTTACTATAATTAATTCAATTTTAATGTATAAATTCATATATTAAATTCCTTAAAATTAACCTAATATATCAAATAAATTATCCACACTTAACTTTAAACATGAATTCTAACAATAAAATAATTGTTTTTCTACTGAAATATATTTGTTAAAAATATGATTCAAAAAATAAATGTATTGAATTAATTGATTTAATTACACTTTATTTTGAGTGGCTTTATTAAAAGAAATCTCTTTATTTTTAATGACTTTTTCTCTAATTATAATTTTCATCATCGTCTTCTTCTTGAATGTACTAATTATCTTGTTGAAAACTCATTTAATTAAACCCACCTCTAATTTAGGCTTCTTCGTGCTAATCTTCTAAACTTTTAACAAATTAATTTATATTTTAACTTATCTTGTCTTTTAACAAGTATTATTTACTCTAAATTCTCTTCTGAATCTTATTTATCTTCTACCGCAACATACAAAGCTTGAAGTATTTACTCCTCAGCTTCTTTGTCAAGTTTATTAAGTTTTGCAAATCTTGAAGCAGCTTATTATATACTTTCATTTCTGCTTAATTCTAAAACAGCCTCCTAATCTTAACCAGGAATTGAAATATACATTTAAAGGATTACGCTATTTTCTTATTTCTCATGCTATTATTCCTGTTGAGGACTATTATTATTATCAATTTATTTTATGCTTTCTTAATAATCTTGCATTTTTTTATTAAAATTATAATCATTGACATCGTCATCATCATCTTCTCCTTCATTTTCTGCCTCTTATACAATTTGGTTTTCTACAACTTTTTGTTAATTTTGTTAGCTTTAAACTTAATTATTCATATAAGCCTGTTAATAGTATTCATTTTTTTATTCAAAATTATTCATGTTTCCTACTTGAGTTCCATTGAAGCTCTGATCCTAGCTTTTGTTATTAAAAAAATTTATATGTTTGATTCTTTTTTCGCATAAATTGCACAAAGTGTCTATCTGAATTACGTTTAAAATTCATTTGATTTCTAAGGTTGTGCAGGCGATCTTTCCTCAATAAAACTGCTATTATCCTGTTTTTTAAAAATGCTATTGTCTGATTGTTTTTAGTTTCTTGCAGGTTCAAAGGCAGATTAAGCTCTAGTTCTAAATAAATGTAAATAATCATAAATTAGCAAACGCCCTTGTCTTATGAAAAATACCCTTGTAAGATTTATTCAATAGGACTTTATCTGTGATTATTCTATGAAGAGGATGTCAACCCTAATTATTTAAATAAATTCTGCTAATCCAAGCTTTATTCCATTATTTATAAACTTTAATTTAGGATATTTGTAATATAAAAACAAGTAAATTTAACAGAAAAATTTACTACACTAAATTAATTAAATAATTAATAGATTAATTGATTGATTGACTTAAAGAATAATTTTTCTTGGATAGTTAAAATTCTTTAATATTAGTTTTTAATTTCTAATAACTAAATTTGAAATTAAAAATTGATTGCATAAACAACTTGTCAAAATTATAAATATTTCACAGATTAATTATCAATCAATAGATTTATTAAATCAAATTGTTTATTCAGAAAAAAGTATTAAATTTAAAACAATATTAATTTGAACTATTTGTTAAAGAAGATATTATTTATTTCCTATTTAACTGGCAAATAAGATCTTTTAAATGATATAAATTTATTTAAAATTTTAATTTGATCAATATTTAATAAATTAAATTTAATATTTTTGTAATAAGCAAATACATACATTCATTATATCTTTTATTTGTGGATAATAAATAAATGATTCTTATTTAATACTTAATAACACTCAGTGTATTAAGTTAGATTCTTGTTTAAAATGTTTGAAAATTTACAAAATTTAAATTTTAGTTAAGCAGAAATTAATTTTTGAAAGATCTTTTTTAAAAATTGCAAATTATTTTGTTAATTTAATTAAAATAATGATTTTAATTGAAATTTTCAAGATTATTTTAAATTTTACTTTATTGAATTAATTTATAAATTTGTATAAAATAAAACAATAATTAAGCTAAATAAAATACATTTATTTTTAAATATAAAATTTAAGTTAATTAATTAATTAATTTAATTATTTAAGGTTAAATATATTAATTAGTAAATTTAAAAAATGTAATCGAATTAGAATTTCATTCGGAAGTTTATTCATTTTAAATACTGGATGGATCTAAAAGAATTTATTGGTCTGCAATTATCTTTCCAAGTGAAGCAAAATTTACTTTTGCATGTTATAGTTGTTTTATAATGTAAACCTATTTTTCAGTTTCTTAATTTAACTTATACCAATGGTATTGGTTTATATTTACTATGTGTTTAATTCCGAAAGTCTTCAGGACCCTTTGAAAATTAAATTTTAAAGTTAAAAAAATAAAATTAAAAATAATTAGTTTTTTCTAAACCAATTAAAATTTAAAATAAAATAATTAATTTTTATAATTAATGCTAAAAATCTTAATGAATTTTTAAATGAAGAAAAACTTTTTAATATATTTAAATTGGTTTTAAAAAATAAATTTATTTTGCTATAATTTATTTTTAAAAAACTAAAAAAAAATAAGTAAAATAAATAATTGTTACTATTGCTTGCAGATGGTTTTTGCAAAAATTTTAATTTTTCCAGAAGAAGAATCGTAGTAGTAATGAGAATCACCATTGATTTCAAATACGATATTTAAATCTTCAAACAATATATCGATTTCATAAATATCTCCAATATATAAATTTTGCTTTATTTTAACATCAGGAAACATAGAAGTTAATACGTTAAGGACATTAACTTAAAATTTAGATTAGAGTTAAAAATTATGAGCAGGTTTTATTAGTGTTTAAATTTAGTCATTTGTTCGGTTTAAAATCATGATTTTTTTCTAATCTTTGTTTTCATTTTTGAATCTCATTATTTTCTAGGCATTCAGTGCAAGAGGATAAAATAGTCTAAAAAACTTATCAGTTTCCATTAAATTTTAAAGGGATTTTTCATCGTTTTGAGATATTGGTATGACATACTAAGGATATAGTTTATATAAAATTTATATTATCTAAGTAGAATTTTTCTCATTGAAATTGATGTACACCTGTTTATTTAATTTATCAATAAAAAATTGCTTGATGTTTTCAAGTTGACTCTTCGAAATAGCTATGTTAATTGGCAGGTTGCTATTTAAAGTGCTTTAGTATTCTTATTTCAATTTAGAGTACTCCTTGTCATCTAATATTCTAAAATGAGTTGATGATAGATTTAACAATCTTAAGGTGTTTAAGAAAAAAGTGTGATTTTCTAATCTGAAAATATAGTTTATGAATTAATCATAGTCCACATCTCTTTAAAATCTAGCATAAGACCACATCAAACCAACAATAACCTTAACTTGCATGTTTGTTACATATTAAAAGTTTTAACTAGTGAATATTTGATAGTACTAATCATATAGAGAGTTGTCGATGAATCCACAATTTTGAAGACATATTATAATGCGAGGAAGGGTAAATCGCAGATATTCAAATTCAACTGGAGAGTAATCAGATTTATCAAATACATTATTGTTTTTTTGTAAATGCTATAAAAATAAGATCATAGGATTTAATTGGCTAAATCTCTTAACTAATTTATTCAAAGTCTTCTTATAGATGTATTTAAATCTGGTTCTTCTAGGATTTCTGCCTATCTCAATAATAAAAGCACAAACACTGTAAAAGTTTAAATTCTTCGCTTCATCTTCATTAATTTTATTTAAAAATTAGACCAAGTGATCTGCATTTAAACCATTATATTCAATCTCTAAATATTAAGAAATGCAATTTTAAATAGAATCATTTTTTTTAGTTTAATAATTAGTGTTATCTTCGTCATTGCTGTTATTACCATCTTCATTTCTTTCCAGTAAAAGATTATTTATTTGAAGTAACTATCTCTGAATTTAACTTGATAGAATTCCTTTACGTTGATTTTAATTCATCTTTTTACTTAATTAGTTTTCAACTTTAATAGATTTAAGTATATCTGATCTCAATGATGAATTTTAAAAATAGCTCTTTTGATTTCCAATATCATCCAAATCAATAATATCACAAAAATAGCATTACGAATTATGTCCTAATTTATTACTAATATTTTTCAACAATACCTAATTTTATTTTCTAATTAATTATCTACCTATCATATTTATTATAATATTCAATTAATTTTGTAGAATCTAAATATATTTAATTATTTATCAATTCAAATAAATATATATAATTTTCTTTAAGCCAAGATTTATCTCTCAAGAATTTTCTTAAATATCCAAAATCAGACAGAATTTAATCGTTAAATAATTTAGCTATTTTAACTTTTTAAAAATGCAAACAAAACTAATTTAATCACATATGTACTTACTTAATTGCTTAAGTTTTATAAAATATAAAATTAAGTTAACATTTACAAAAAAGTGTTATATTTATTTTTAATATTTTGATTTAAATTATTTTTTTTGGTATTATTAAAAAATTAATTTTCAATTCAATTAATTTAATTTAATCAGACAAAAAATTTCTACTAATTTAATTAATTAAGAAGAATTTATAATTACATAAGTATTTTAATTAAAAAAAACATATTCTCTATTTACATACAAATTATTAATATTTCAAACAAATTAATAAAGAAATTTAATGATATATATACTTACTTTACTTAAATATCATAAAATAAAAATTAAGTTAAAAAACAAACTTTACAAAAAATAGGATTAAAAGTTTAAAAATAAATAAATTTGGATTGAATTTAATTAAAAAATAATTTATGGTATTTAAATTAATTAAGAATAATTGATAAAATATAAATATTTTTAATATAAAATTGGAAAAATATATATTACATTTACTAATTATTAATATATAATAATAAAGGATATTTCATTAAATAGAGTTTATTGATTATCATTGTTAAATTATAGATTTTGCTTGCTGTTTGTTTAGTTATTTAGTTATTTATTTGTTAATTTGTTTATTAAGTTTTATAAAAAATTTTCTATTTAAAATTATATTTATTATTTATTGATCAAGCTTAAACTTATAAAATTATTTATGGTTTGGTCTGTTTATTTATCAAAGATTATACTAAATTGTTATTATTATAAAGTATTTTTGTTAAATATTTTTAATATGTCATTTGATACCAAGTAACAATAAGATTAGTCTTCACGTCAAAAATTTTAACTTTAAAGTGACTAAGATTAAGATATTCTATAAGGTTAGAAATAAATGTATTGCAATCTATCAATTCATTTTTTAAATTTCATTATTTTTTATTTATTAATTAAATAGGCTCATATTATTAACAAAACTGATTCAAAGTAGTTTGTAAATAAGTCTTTCTTTGACTTATAAATAATGAATTTAACAAATTTATATTGAATAATTAGGTTATTCATCCCATTTCTATTTTTAAGAATAGAATCTTAATTTACAATTCAATGTATTTCATATTGTTTTAAAATTTTTAATTCAGTTGATAGCGAAATATTTTAATCTAAATTTTAATTAATCCAAAATTGATCGATCACTTTTCGACGTTGGCTGACATAAGATCTTCAGGAAGAGGTAATATTGAAGTCATAGATTTTTAATTAGATTGGCTCTTTCCCATCGTAGGAAGAAGATTTAGCTCATTGCTTATTTTTGCAAATTCTTTGAAAGAATTTTTTCTGCTGAGTTTATTATTAATATAAGCTGAATTAGTGGAATGAACTTCGAAAGCTGTCGAACATCCGTCAAATTTGTTTTGATATTTCTTTTAGTATAATTCATCTTCGTCTATCTTTTAGTAATTAATAAGTCTGTTTGTTTTATGATACAATGAGAGTTCTCTTATGTTTTAGCTCATAAATGATTTAATGTTGTTTCTATTAGTATCAACTGTTATGTCTTCACTCGACTATGTATTTATTTGCCAATTTTCCTCATTAAAATCTGATTGTATTTTTCCTAGATTTTTATTCTCTTTTTGGCTGTTTTATGGTTTTTTATTGTGCCTTTCTATCGAATATTGCTTTAAAAATTGTTCTTTCGTTTAAAAATTTTAATCTGCTCCTTCTTTGAGGTTTTCAATAGCATTTAGATTACTGCAAACAACTATTTTTTGTTTACTTCCTTAGTTGTTAACAATTTCCTTTTAAATATCAAAGGGATTGTTGAGAAAACTAGATAAATAACTAGAATATTAGTTAGTTGAATGCAATCTCTCATAACTATCAGGTCTGGAGCTTACTCTAAAAAGGCTTTCTAAATAATCTACTAAACCATTATCTGCATTTAGCTGAATATCTACCATAGGTGAGCCAGAAAGTTATTCTGCTATAATTTTATGCTGAGTGTCTTCCAGCTCTTTTATTTTATCATTCAATGTTACTTCGTCTGTAGCTCTGTTGGATAGAAATTTGACATCCTCTATAAAACAAATCACACTCCCAAAATTATAATCATATTATTGTTTTCTTTCTTTAGAAAAAAATTCCTCTCTAAATTCCATGGCTCTAAAGCAATCTTTGATAAGCCCGTTGAATATCTAAATTAATTTTTTGTACAAATTTAAAATTGGAACAATAACTAACACAAAGCATAAATAAATTTGATGCTTTCATTAGAATCAAAAAAATATATGTGTGTATTGTGCTAATTTAATTGATATTTCAATATAATAAATATTTTGTTTGATTACAAGTGTTTTGGAAAGAAGTGAAAAGAATGGCTGGTCTCTTTCTTCGTATGAAGCAATGTATTTCTTGTAATTAAAATAAACTATTTTCTTTGAACTTTTAGAGTTTTTTTCACTATTGCCAATTTATTCTTTTTTTGAAAAAGTTGAGTTATTTTTATTCTATTTAGCCTAGAAAGAATTATTACTAGTTCCTCCAATGCTTTACTGCTAATCAAGACAATTCAAGCTTTTTTAAAAATAATTTGTCGAAGCTGTTGTTTAAACTTGTGGATCAGCCTTTGTCGATTGGTTTTAAATTTCTCCGTTGCTTTTGCATTTAGTGTGTTTACCTTTTTCATGCTCTTCATTGCTGAAGTACATAAAAAGATCGTGAAATATTAAGAGGATGAAATCATAAAAAAACTGCTTGTATCTTAATATTGCTTGGCTAAAATATTCCTAATAATCAATGAATGAAATATTTAGTTAGTTAGTCAGTTAATTAGTTGCTAATAAATATTAATAATAAACTAAATATTTTTACTTCTTCGTAAAATTTAATGTCTCCAATGATCAAATTTATTTTCCTAATGAAGTAATTTCTGTAAACAAGAGGAATTCTCGGAGAAGGATTAGCTTAGGTTTCCTTATTTTTTTAACAATGAATTGTAGAATATATATAATAGGGCAGGGAACAAATTTAATTACATTTATATAAAGAAAAGAATTTTCATCAATGTCATAAACAACTCTATTCTGTTTTAATTAATTAGATTCTTAACTTTTATCTGTCTCAACCTTTTTTGTTTAACATTAAGAATTAATTAATCAAGTAACTGATTTAATATTTTTTATTATATTTAAAACCATACAGATTTAAAGTCTTTTCTGTGAAACCCAATAATGTAAGGCAATTTGGTATTTTCGTAATCAAAAATACTTGGAACGACTAAATTCGGAATATATACTCCTCTCCAAAACCTGTTGGAAATTTACATAAATGATGAGAAAATTAAATCAAATATTTTTCGCTAAATTGTAAAATTATTTATTGCTAATAAATTTATGATTGATTTCTAACTAACTAAATAATATAATAAATAAGAGCATAATTCTAAATTATACGACTTATTTATTTATTTATCTATTTGGTTCTAATCAATTTAAGAAAGGGTTAATTTTAATTATTTATATAAATAAGGAGATAATTTCAAGTTTATTATTTATTAGCATTCATTCATCTAATAAATTTAAATTGCTTACAGTGGTTTTATCAACTCTAGGAGATTTTCAGCAAAAAGAGTAAGAGAATTGGTTCTTTTAGACACTAGGATTATTTGATATTCTAGAAGAATATATGTTACTAAATTTAATAAATTATAAGGACTCTAACTGAACATAAGACTCTCAAAAAAGTTATTTGAAGGGTTTACAATTGAATAAAACATATTATTGATGTTGTTTTTAGTGTAATAAAGCAAAAATTTATCATTTGTGTGGAATTTTAGCTACACTTTTTCATTTGCTTCCTAAATCATACAGTTATCATAAGTGTATTAAATATAATATTCAAATAGCTTTGATTACTCTATTCCATAAACTTTCTCATCTTAAGTAACTTGTATTATTTTGTCTTATTCAGTGCTCTGTTTCATCCTGTGCACATGCAAAAGATATCCTATTAGACTTTTCTAAGCACAAAAGAAAGGAGCACATGACATTATCACATGAGATTTAGGGATATAGAACTAATGTGGTTGCTCATTTTTATCAACAAAAATAATCTTTTCCTATAGTTATAAAAATGAAATGATATAGTTCCAATAAAAGCGTATTGTAAACTCAATAAAATGTATTAATAACTCATATTCTTGCAATAATTTAGCTGCTATTTCAAATCTTTGCTCTATTATTACTAATTTTGCTAAGAATAATTGTTTTATTACATAAAAATAAGCTGATGTGCAATAATACTTTTGCAGTGTTCCTAAATCAGTAACCACGAAGTAGTTTATTTCATGTATATTAGAACCTAACTTTGCTTATGGGTCGTGATAAAAGTCATCTAACATTTTAAATTTCGGATCAGATTGCTATATCAGTTTGACTCCTTGGGGAAAACTCCACTTTTAATAAAAAATATGAATTATTCCTATTTTAGAGATATTACCTAAAAATAAGAATGGAGTAATGAATTTTAAATAAAATGAAGATAAGTAGGCTATAAATTAGTAAGCATTAGCAAAAATATTACTTTTTCGAAATTCTTTAACACTTAAGGTAACTCCTTTTTACATTAATTGTGTTTATTCTAGTATACTATGATAGTTTCAAGATTTTAGATATTGTCATCTTATTTTGATAGAAGTTAGGCTTTTGAGTTATCATCAAAAATAGATTAAAAATCAATCAATTTTAAAAGCAGTAAGAATAATATAAATGAAAGCCAACTGTAAAGCAGATACTTAAATTGCTTAAAAGTTGAATGGATATTTATTTTAATTACCATAATCTATTCTATCACTACTAACCTATGAAATAAGATAATATTCGAATGCATACTTTTTATAATCATCTGCATTCATTATCTAATAATTCTAACAATTATTGCTCTTTTCATTATTCATCCTAAATTTCTCCTAGTATTTTTACTTTAATAATTAATTAAAAAAAATGTAAATAATTAATTATTTATCTCACTTTCAATAGATTCGCAAAAATAAATTAATTAATTATGTATGATATTTTTTATTCACATAAAGTAAATTAAAAGAAATTAAAAAACATATTTTTAATCTTCTTTCATGGAAATAGTAGTTAAAACTACCATTAAATATCAATTGAAGATTATTTTATCATTCCTTATAATTCAACTAATTGGTTTATCATTCAAGCTATAATTTTCTCAAAAATTTTGCATTCTCTCTTTATCTAACCATATAATAATATTTATATAATATACAAATGAAAATACCAATAACTCATTCTTACATTCATTACACTTTAAGCAGCATTAGTAAAAAAAATTTGAAAAAATATTTACCAATTTAAATTGTGTTTATTCAATTTACAAAATGTTTATTTCTTGCAAAAAACAAAAAATCCTCCTTTACATTCTCAGTAAATAATTTAATGCTAGTTTCAAAAATCAATTTTATTTGCAAAAACTAAGCAGTAAATTTTAATCTAAAATAATTAATTCAATATATTACTCATTAAATTTATAAATTAATTCCTTTGAAGAAGCAGATAAAATATTTTGATGAATAATTACCATATTAAATTATTTTAATTACTTCAGCTGTAAAAAATATTTCATCAAAAATTTAAAAAGTTTTTATCAATTCATTAAATTTTTGTTAATAAAAAGAGTTGATGAATAAAATAAAATTACAAAATATAAGAAAAATACATATTTTATATAATATTACTTAGTTAATTTAATTTTTGAAACAATATATTAAAATTTATTGGTATTCCTTCAAGTTTTATTTAAATTGAATTACAATTTATTTTAATAAATTTTTAGTTTTTATTTAAATTACCATTTACATAAAATTTATTTTGAAGTGAATTTTAATTTATTTATTTATTTATTTATTATCTTTTTGTTAATTAATAAGATTTAGAGAACCAAATTCCAAATATAATTAAGTTTATTTATTTAATTTGAATTATAATAAATAAATTGTATAGTAATATAAAAATAACTCACTTACTTACTTAATTATTTGGTGTTTCATTTGCTATTTGTAGTTATTTATTATTTATGTTTTAAAATTAAGTCAAGTTATATTTGTTTATTTATTGTTTGATCAAATTTCTTAAGTTTTAAATTTTTATAGTTTTGGTTATATGTAAATTAGCAACTTCTATGATTAGAATAGAATTTTAAACTGAGTACATAGCATGCATGAAATTTCAAATTTTATTAATTGAAATTTTTCTTTTTTGGAGGGATTTCTAATCAAAATTAATTTCTTTAAAAAAAGATCTTTTTAAAGGCATTCAGCAAAAGAGACTAAGAAAAATGCTTGTTTACAAATGTTATTTTCGTGGATAATAAAAAGAATTTGGAATAGAATATTATTTTCAAATTTTATAAAAATGGGATATCAAAATATCATTAATAAAGGATTGTTAAAGTTAGATGATGAACGATGATGATAAATATTTGATTGAAATATGTTAGCGCGATGTTGATAATAATTAATTAGATCTCATTATGCCCTCCAAGATGGTATGAGATCGGATTGATCAGATTGCGCGAAAAACAAGAGATTTTAAAGACAAAATGAATGTAGAAAAAGGAATACATTAATTAAAGAGTTGAATGCGAATTACAAGGAGTATTAATAATTAATTAATTAACTAACAAAACTAAATAAATAAATAGATAGATAGATTGATTGATAAGCTTAACTAAATTAATTTTAATACAAGATTTAAATAGGACAATCATCCTAAATATTAAGAATAGAATTTCTTATAAAATCATATATAACCCACGATTTTTTCTATTTATTAGCACAGAGACTTTAACCACATCTCTGCTATAACTCCTTAAATGAGAATAGGCGATTAAGTACAGATTTCAGGCAAAAAAATAACTCCTTTGAAGACCAAGTAGACTCCTGTAACTAAGAAGACTGAAGTTAAAGGCAAGATAATGTCATCTCCTAAAGGATAAATAATTGCTTAAAAAATACTAGACTAAACTACATATTTTCTTTTAAAGACAGATGCTCAGTCATCTCCTAAGTGGGAGGCTAAAGAAAAAATCATGAATTCCCATAAGTCTATCATTTAAAAATATGAACGCTAATAAAAAGCCTTTCTTGCAAGCCAACAACAACAGGTACAGCGCCCTATTGTTATACAAAACTCTGATGAAAGTGATGAAGATAAAAACAAAATAAATGGAAAGCGTAAGCTTTGCATTGGCGGTAAGGCTCCTGTACTCAACAGTTCAGGAAAGAAAGTTTGTAATGAAAACACAAAAGATGGGCAACCTTAAAATAATGGAACTTAATCATTATTCTCTTCCAAGCTGCAAGAAATGAAAAGTAGGTTACACGAAAGTAATATCTTATAAAATGAATATTAGAAAAACTAGAATAACTAGATCAGTGCTGAAAAATCTTCTAATTCTAATTTTTTTGGCAACACTAATGGCAATTAAATTAATGTAAAAAGAAATAACCTCTTCGACTCTACTAACTATTACAATACTTCTAAATAAGATTAAAATCCTATGTTAAACAATTTCAATACAAATAATGACCCTAATAATAATAATAACCAAAAGATTTCTCATAGACTTTTATTTGATTCATAACCTGTCAATCCACAAATTAATCCAAAAAATTAATAAAAGATACATGAAAAGCAAGCTCAAAAGGATAAGTATATTTAATAGCAATTACCTGTTATATAAGAAAACTCAAAGAATTTTAGTGACATAGAAAATATTAGCTATTTAAATAACTCAATAAGTGAAGAGCAAAAATCAGATATACCCATTAATAAGAATAAAAATCCATTTAATGTCACTTCAAATATTTAAAAATCAAACAATCAAGAAGAAAAAGGAGGTATTTTAATAAAGTCCTCTTCATTTGGCAATCTTTTTTTCAAAAAAGATGATCTTTAAATTGCAAAGAGCAAGACTCAGCCTTCTGAATCACCTTAAAAGCAGTAGGTTAAGCCTCAATAATAGTTAAAAGGACTATAAAGACTAATTTCAACTAACTCCCCAGTCCAGAATACAAATGTATCAAACAATAACAGCAGCAATAAAAATGAATAAATTAATCATAGCAATAAAAATGAAAATAGCTTGGTTAGGAAAAGTAAATCTGCAAGCTCAGAAGAAGGAAAGCCTAAAAAAAGTGTTAGCAAAAGTAGTTCATCTAAAAGCACATAACAAAAGCTAAATGACTCTAAAGTAGAGAAAAAATCATCTAACGAAAGTAAAAAGGTGATCATACCAAATTTAGATAGCGATGATGATGATGAAAATCTAAGCTAAGATGATATCAAATTGAAGAAAAAAGACTTTGGAAAATACATGTATCAAGTATTTGGATATAATAAGTAAACACCTAAAAGCTCATCTATAAAGAACGTCTACTCCCCTTCTAAATCTCCTATGATTGATATGTAAAAGAATAAAATGGATACCTAGTCACAGATATAAGATTCTTAAGTAGAAGGTCCCCCAAAAGATGGCCCTCTAAACGAAGTTCTTCAATAAAATTTGCAACGTTTAAATGAGATGATTTAAAATAGTGAAAAAAAGAAATTAAATAAATCCAACAATTCTCCAATTAACAATGATGAATTTGCTTCTATTCCTGATGAAAATAATTTCGTTAATCACAACGATGCCAGCGAAATGGATATTGAAGAAAAATTAATTCATTAATTTGAAAAAGAAAGAGCCGACTACAGCCAATTCCAAAATTAATTAATATAAGAATACATCGAAACTAGACAGGATGAAGATGATGATGATGAATTTGATGAAAAGCCAAAAGAAAAATTTGTTCTTTAACTGGAAAAAGGAGGCTTAAAGTAAAAGTAGTCAAATGAAATCTAAACCGAAACATAAAAGGTCTAAAATTTCAGAAGTGGATAGCTTGAAAAATAAGTAAAAGCTAATGCCCTACATCCACAAAGCAGTTTCGAGTAAGATGTTACTAAAAAATAGCTACAATCTACATTCGAATCTACTTCATAAGAAGAAAGCAAACAAGGAGAAAATAAAAAATAATATGCTCCTATTTACCAAGAAAAGAAAGTAATTCAATGCAATACATCTACAGAATACATTAATACAGCTAGTCTTGAAAATAATTTGCAATCCACTTAAGCAGAATCCGTTTGCTTGAACTCAGAAGTATAAAAAAAGAACCCTATACCTATTTAAGGGCACTTCTACAATGGTGATAAGGCCAAAAAAATAATAGCTTGCAGACCAAAAGACAATGATATTATGATGGAAATTGAGTGGGAAGCTCGTTCTGATGGAAAAATTCCAGAGAAATCAACACTAAGCTCCAAATTAGTAAGAGAATATGACCATGATATTCTAATTGATTTTTACGAATCTAAGATAAAATTCACATACAAGAATGCTATTGACAAGAAAAAGCAAACCCAGTCTCTAAACACCTCAGTTAAGAAGGAGTACGACAGTCCAGTGTAAAACCAATGAGAGGCAAGCAAAACTTTTTTTCAAATAACTAAAATATATCTTAAATACTCATATAATCATTCATTCATGATTCACTCTTTCACTAACAATCAATCTTAATAAAAATCTAAACACTATTTTAAAAAAGCAATATATTAAAATAAATTTAATTTAAAAAATACTACAAACAAATTAAACAAATAAATAAATATATAAATAAATTCCTTTTAAAAAACATTAAAATTTATATTTCATTCTATAAATTTTCCCATTCAATTTGTTGATATCTGTTATATATATAAATAAATTCCTTTTGTTATAGTCTTTCTCTTTAAAAATATAAAACTTTAAATTTGATTACAAAAAAAAAACAAATAAAATTCATATTTATTTACTATTTTGACAAAAAATTTTATTTTCATCTTTGAGATGAAAAAAAGTTTAATTAATTATATTGTGCATAAATTAATTAATCAATGCAAAGATTAATCATAAATTTAATTTATTTATTTTTATAATAAGAAAGATAAAATAAACATTCATTTTTGTATTTTACAAAAAATAATAAACATAATTTACTCAAATTATTTTCCATAAAAATTTACTTTTCCAAATTTATGAAGAAAATAATTTACTATCAATTAAATAATGTTATGTAAAAATTCAAGTTATTGCAAATAGCAAGTGAAAATCATTGATATTGAATTTAAATTTTTGTATTCCTACATAATGTTTAAATTTTATTTAATATATCTTTAAAAATTAACAAATAAATCTATTCTTTTTTATTATTAATTCTACTGAAAAAAAAGGAGAAAGATTTTTTAAGATACAAAGAATCATTTTAAACCAAAAATTGATTTGGAAAGTATAAAATATATTTTTTTGTTCATAGCTTTTTTAAAAAATATACAATTCAGCTTTTAATTAAAAAGTAAAGTAAACAATTATTCTAAACATTTTGGAATGTTTAATCAACTTTTTTCTTGAAAGATTCAAATTATAATTACTGTATGAATAATTTTTTTTAAACGCAATTTATTTTTAGATGAGTATACATATATTTTATAGTTATTATATATTAATATTATATCATGGAAACAGTTATTAATATTATTAAATAAAATATATATTTTTTTAGATATTTTATTTATTTATTAATGCTTTTTCTCTCTTAAATTGTTTAATTTATCATTAGAGTTGCAAAATGTAAACTCTTTTATGTTGAGTGGAAAAATTAACTCGCTTTTAAACATAAAAATATCCTCTCAACAGAAAATAAAAATCTATATTATTTAAAGTTTTATTTAAGGATTCAAAACATTAATTATTACTGAATGATAAATATTTGTTTAAATGCAATTTATTTTAAAGTAGGATTACTTATAATTGTTTTAATATACTGATATGATATTATTGGAGCAAGTATCTTTATAGTAAAATAACAAATATATTTTATAAGATATTACATTTATTTATAATGAATGTTTCACACCTCAATTTTGTAATTTATCATTAAGATTCAAAAAATAAATTTTTTTATGTTGAGTAGTAAATTTTAAATTAATTTCTTTTTACAAAAATATCCATTCAACACAAAATTAAAGTGTGAATTTTTTAGATTACCTAAAACATATAAATAGCATCAATTTACATAAAAAATTCATAGAAATTATCAGAAAGAGTTCTATATTCGTTTAATAATGTTTCAACCACAAACCTATCTAAGTATTAAGAAACAATTAATTATATCAATTAAAACTCATTGATATTTTATTGAAAAAATATCTATCCTGTTATAAATTATAAATTTTATTAATTCAATTTGGGAGATGATGAATCTATACTACTTTATTGTTACTTTTAAAATAAGCATTCCAACAATAAAATACATTCATTTTTTACAAATTTATTTACAAAATTTAAGTAATAAATTGAATAAATCTTTTATTATATCTAAAAAAGAGATTTTTTTTGTTTGTTACTTTTGACCTAAATTAATAAATTTTCTAATTTTGAATTATTAGTTAGATTTAATTAGAATTTACATCTTTTATAATGCACTGATGTCATCAAAAAATAAAATAATGAATGAATATGCTTTAAAAGTTAGTTGACTAATAATTAATGTATTTGAAAATATTTAATTTGTAAACTCCAAAAATTTACCATAAAATCTTATTTATCGTTAAAAATAAATATAGTAAAAAAGGATTGAAATAATTTTTGGTGTTGCTTATATTTAAACTGGCTTATGATCCAAATATAATAAATAAAAAAATAAAATAATCTAAAAAGAAAACATACATGATAAAATACATAGTTTACTTAGTTGCTTTAATCTTGACTTTGCTGAGTCTAATCATCCTAAGATAAGCTTATAAGAGTTTAAGGTTGTGTCTTATATATAGGAAGAAATATGGCAATGATGTAAAGATCCTATTCTATCCTATTTTGGGTATCGGCTATTTCATGAATTAGTCTTTTGAAAAGCACGATAACAGTTATGAGTGGATGAAAAGAATAGTTAGAGAAAACCCTAATGTAAAAGCTATTTTAATACTTTCTGGCTTGTTTGACATAATCATTCTTTAAGATGAGAAATGGGTGAAGAACTTCTCTCAAGATCACATATTGTATTATAAAAACGATGGAAACTTTGGATATACTTTTGCTTTCGAAAAAGGACTTTTCTATAGTAGCTTCGGAGACTGGAAGAGACAAAGAATTTTCCTTAACAGCAGCTTCCATTTTGAATCTCTTAAGTCATATGTTCCTATAATCAAAGAGTAAACTAAGAAACTTTTGGCAAATCTAAAGGAAGAAGATGGTTTTGTCAAGCTTAATATCTTCTAAGAGCTGTAAAAAATAACTTCGGAAATTATAACTATCAGCTACTTTGGTAAATCTCTTGTTAATGTCAAGTGCAAGAGTGGAATTGAACTTTATAAAGAAAATAATGACATTATCTAAGACTCTTACATCTATAGATTCACTTCACCATATTTTATTTTAAAAGCCTGCATATTTGGAGCTAAGAAAGCATCTATGATTTATCATAATCAAGCTGAAAAGAAATTAATAGCTAGAATGAAAGATATCTTCGAGACTTATGAGAAAATTATTGATGAAGAATTAGAAAAAATCAAAATGTCAAAAATAGATCCTATGGATATTCAGCCAAAAACCATGATTGAACTCTATCTAAAGGAATATTTGATTTAATAGCAAAATAGAGCAACTATGAATCCTAATGATATCTTTGAAAAGAAAGAAATTATTCACCAATTTCTTACATTCTACTTTGCTGGTTCAGAAACAACTTCTCACTTGGTTGCAATGACTTTCTATGAGCTTACTAAAAACCAGTAAATTTATGATAAATTGATGAAAGAAATTAACGAAAATGCTAAAGACTTTGATAAAGTTGAGCATAGTGATCTCTCTAAATTTTAATATTTAGATATTGTATTTAAAGAAACTGGTCGTTTACACAATGCAATTGCATTCACTTCCCCAAGAGTCACCGATTAAGATTACATAAAAGAAGATATGTACTTAAACAAAGATCTCCTTGTTTGTCACAGATTAACTTAGTACAGCCAATAATGCGAAGTCCTAAAAGATAGCGATGAGTATATCCCAGAAAGATACAGCAGAAATACAAAAGGTTTTAGTAGTTTCGATGTTATTCCTTTCTCAACAGGTCCAAGAAACTGTATTGGACAGCATTTAGCCCTCATTAAATCGAAGTTCCTTGTCATTTATTTCTTGAAAAACTTTGAATTAAAAGAACTTCCAGGTTATAAGTTGCGTACCATGCAAAAACTTAGTAATCACCCTATCGATGAAGAAATAGTTTTGATTAAAAGAAAAAAATAATGAAATTAGTTAGAAATTATTTTATTTAATTATTATTCAATATTTATAAATAAATAAATACTGTAACTTCATTTATATTTACTTGTTTCTCACAAATGGTTATTTATAATTTCTACTTTTTTAAAGTTTTTAAATTTTTGCTTTAAAAAAAAATATAATGCTAATAATAAATGAGATGTTAAAATAATTATATTGTATTAATGTATGAAATTTTTTGAATTATATTAATTTCATTTTATTATTAAAATTAAATTAAGTAACTAAATAAATAAAAAACAGCTTGGAATATTATTTTTATTATTATTTACAGTCATTCGATTTGTTAGATTAAAATTGTGGTGTTTATTAACACATTAGTAAATTTATAACTCTAATATCTTTTTGGTTGTAAAAGAAATATTTATTAATTCTGTTAATTAATTTGAATTTTGAAGTACTAAAGATAAAAATTTTTTAATTTTAATCTGATCTCACATTTAATATTTAAATTTAAATAAAATTCTTTTTCATCAAGAAAAAGACATATTAAACCATTCTGATAAAATATTTGATACTCAATAGAGTCAAATTATTTAATTAAATTCCTTTGTATGTAATTTATAATAGGTTTTTTTACATATTTTTATTTCAGAATATCTTTTTTGGAAAAAATAGTGTCATATTTTAAAAAATAAGATTAGCAAAAAATGTAATTAATAAACTGATATTTTCTGATTTAATAGATTTTAATTACTTTTTTTCTAACAATAAACAAATTAATATCTTTCTTCCAAGTGGAATCAATTTATCAGTCAATTTTTTTTTTAAAAAGAAAAAATTATCTAAAAATTTATTTAAAAAGAATTTTATTTAAATATTCTTTAATTCTATTTATAAAATGAGTACACCAAAATTAGATGATTGGGAAGTAATATTTGACAATAATTAAATAAATATAGATGAAATATAAAAAACTCCTGCTGATTAAATTTAAGTATGATTAATTACTGAACTATTTAATATTTATTTAATGTTTATAAAACATAATTGTATTAAATGACATAATTAGGTATTAGATCAAGATAATTATCAAATTGAATTTGTGCTTTCTAAAAGAGATTCTCATCAAGAATACCAATTATATTCAGTAAAAAATGAAGAAAATAAGTTAAATTGGTAAATAATCATTTTATTTAAATTTTTTATTATTTAAGTTTATCTATTTCTTATGACTAATCTTAAAGTAAACCAAAAAGCGAGCTTAACAATATGTAAAATGAAGATAGCAATTAAAATTCTAAAGTAAATGATTTTTAAGAAAAAATTTGTCTTTCTTTCTTTCTTTCTTTATTTATTTAACATTTTTTTGAATAATAAGATTTTAAAATGTATTTAGAATTTATTAATCAATTGAAAATGAATAAGTTTAATTTTGTTTACTATAGAATTTAGATACTTAGGTTGTTTACAAAATTAATAGTGAATGTAATCTAGCCAAAATAGACTGTATCTAAGATAATCAATAATTGTTGATGCAGAAAGATAAAAGTATGCTTTAAGACGATGAAGTAAATTATTCTAAATAGCAATAATTTTTAATTAACAATGTATTAATAAACCTTTTAAAATGAATTTTTTAATAAAAATTAAATTATTAATTAGATCAGCTAAAGAAATTAAATTTAAGTTTTACCAAAAGAAATGCCTGATAATAATAAGAACATTAAACAAATCTAAAGTTATTATATAGAAATTCCTCAGTCTATGTAATGCAGATCATTAAAAATAGAAAATAAAATTTATTTTAATTTAAAAAAAGCGATGATATATCGGAAAAAATAAAAGAAGTATTAAGTAAACTTAGTGAAGAAAAATAAGATTAAAAAGATTATTAAAAATATTTAATTATTTAAAATATTATATTAATATTTACTCTTATTTTTATTGCAAGGATTATATGATTTAATGTATTTTTGTTTGGTTTATTTTAAGATTTTAAACAAAATAAAATTTATTAAAAAATCTAAAATCATTTTCAAACAATAAATTATTTATTTATTTATTTTCAAATAAGGCCTGTCCTATTCTGTCCGTCCTTCATAAGAAAGTTTTTTTTTCTTAGTTTTTTAGATTTATTTGTAAATTTATTTTTCTTTCAACAATATTATTTTTTAAAATTAACTTTTGTTTGATTAAATATTTATATAAAATTAGGTTACAATTTTATACTTTAATATCTCGTAAAGGTAAATTATTTATTTATTTTGAAATAAATCCTTCATATCAAATGAAGGACTAAATTTTTACAAAAATTTTGATTTGAGTTTGTCCTTAATTAATGCGAAACTAGGGTATATTCTATTTATGTATGAAATTTATGGAATTATATTAATTTAATTTAATTTAATTTAATTTAATTTTTTTATTATTCATTAAATCAAATTTAGTAAATAAATATACAAAAAATAAATACCTTGGAATATCATTTTTATTGTTATTTATAATCAAGCCTTTGAATTATTAAATGAAAATTAATTAGGTAGTTTCTTAAAAAATTAATAAATTTATTAATGTTAAAATCTTTTTGGTTGTAATAGAACGATTTTTTTATTTATTTAGTTATTAATTTGAATTTAATACTACAAGCGATAAAATATTTTTAATTTTAAGCCGATTTCACATTTAGTATAGAGCTGTCTGTTTTTATACAATTATTTAAATTTAAATAAATTACTATATCATCAGAAAAAGATATACTTTAACCATTCTGATAAAATATTTGATTCTCAATCGAGTCAAATTATTTAATTAAACTCCTTTAATTGTAACTTATAATAAGTGTTTTTACATATTTTTATTTGGGAATATCTTATTTTTGGAAAAAGTAATGTCATATATATTTTAAAAAATAAGATTAGCAAAAAATTTAATTAATAAACCGATATTTTCTGATATATTTTAATAATTTTATTCTTACAATAAACAAATTTATAAATTTCTTCCATTTAAAGTCAATGATTCAGTCGATGTTAAATAAAAAAACAAAAACTATCTAAAAATAAATTAAAAACAAACACATTAGATTTTTTTTAATTCTATTTTATAAATAAATGAGTACAACAAGATAAGACGATTGGGAAGTAATATTTGACAATAATTAAATAAATATAGATGAAATATTAAAAACTCCAACAACTGATTAAATTTAAGTATGATTATTTAACTACTTAATATTTATTTAATGCTAATAAAACATAATTCTATTAAGTAATATAATTAGGTAATAGATCAAGATATTTAACAAACTGAATTTCTGCTTTCTAAAAGTGATATTCATCAAGAAAACAAAATATAATCAGTAAAAAATGAAGAAAATAAGTAAAATTGTTAAAATAATTTTATTTTGGTTATTTATTGTTTAAGTCTATTTCTTATGACTAATCTAAAGTAAACCAAACAACGAGCTTAACAATCTTTAAAATCAAGATACCAATTAAAATTCTAAAGTAAATGGTTTTGAAAAAAATTTTGTCTTTATTTATTTATTTATTTATTATTTCTTTGAATAAAAGATTTTAAAATTTATTTAAAATGAATGATTAAGTTGTAAATGTATGAATTTTATTTATTTATTTTAGAATTTAGAAACTTAGGTTGTATAAAAAATTAGAAGTGATTGTGAACAAGCTTAAATAGATAGTATCTAAAATAATCAATAATTGTTGATGTAGAAAGAAAAAATGATCATTTAAGATAATTAAGTAAATTATTCTAAATACAATAATTTTAAATTAATTAAAAAGTTTAAAAATGAATTTTTGAACAAAAATTAAATTATTAATTAGATCACTTAAAGAAATTAAATTTAAGATTTACCCAAAGAAATACAGGATGATAATTAGAAAATTAAAAAAATCAATAGAAAAAATAAAGAAATTCACCTGTCTATGTAAAGCAGATCATCTAAAATAGAAAATAAAATTTATTTTAATTTAAAAACAGCAATGATAAATTGGAAAAAATAAAAGAAGTATTAAGTTAACTTAGTGAAGAAAAATAAAATGAAATAGATTTAAATAATTTATGCGTTTTATCTATTATGTATACATTAATTATTATTTTTATTTTTAAGATTTTATGATATAATGTGCTTTTTGTTTGATTTATTTTAAGATTTTAAACAAAATAAAACTCATTAAAAAATCTTTTATTTTAAAATATAAATTATTTGTTTATTTATTTATTTAGTTTGAAATAAGTCTTTCTTCTGTTCTTCATACGAAAGTTTTTTCTCTCAATTCTTAAAATTTATTTGTTAATTTATTTTTCAATAATATTATTTTTTTAAAATGATTTTTATTTGATTATATATATATAAAATGAAATAGGTTACAATTTTATACTTTAATATCTGTTAATAATTTTTGAATCATGATATCATTAATAGTTGGTTTGTGATATTTTAAATGCAGGACATCTATATACCGTGCATTCTCATTAATTAAGGCCAGTTGACAAAAAATGTTTTTTCTCAAAAATTGGCCATACTCAATCGAGTCAAATTATTTAATTAAACTCCTTTCTATGTAATTTATAATAAGTTGTATTATATATTTTTATTTCAGAGGATCTTTTTTTTGTAAAAAGTAATGTCATATTTTAAAAAATAAGATTAGCGATTCAATTTAATTAATAAACCGATATTTTCTGATTTAATAAATTATAATTACTTTTGTTCTAACAATAAACAAATTGATGTAATTTCTTCCACGTGGAATCAATTTATAGTTTAATCAATTTTTTAAAAAAAGAAAAAACTATCTAAAAATTATTAAAAAAGAATTTTATTTAAATATTCTTTAACTCTGTTTTTACTTTTGTTCTAACAATAAACAAATTGATGTAATTTCTTCCACGTGGAATCAATTTATAGTTTAGTCAATTTTTTAAAAAAAGAAAAAACTATCTAAAAATTATTAAAAAGAATTTTATTTAAATATTCTTTAACTCTGTTTTTAAAATGGATACGCCAAAATTAGATGATTGGGAAGTATTATTTGATAATAATGAAACGACTTTAGATGAAACAAAGAAAACTCCTGCTGATTAAATTTAAGTATGATTAATTACTTAACTACTTAATATTTATTTAATATCTATAAAACATAATTCTATTAAATGACATAATTAGGAATTAGATCAAGATATTCATCAAATTTAATTTCTGTTTTCTAAAAGAGATTTTCATCAAGAATAACAATTATAATCAGTAAAAAATGAAGAAAATAATTTAAATTGGTAAATAATCATTTTATTTAAAATTTTTATTGTTTAAGTCTATCTATTTCTTATGTCTAATCTTAAAGTAAACCAAACAGAGAGCTTAACAATCTGTAAAATGAACATAGAAATTAAAATTCTAAAGTAAATGATTTTTAACAAAAATTTTATCTTTATTTATTTATTTAATATTTTTTTGAATAGAAAGATTTTAAAATTTATTTAGAATTTATTATTAAATTGAAAATGATTAAATTTTTTATTTATTTATTTATTTATTTATTTATTTATTTATTTTAGAACGTAGATACTTAGGTTGTTTACAAAATTAATAGTGAATGTGACCTAGCCAAAATAGATTGTATATAAAATAATCAATAATTGTTGATGTAAAAAGATAAAATTATCATTTAAGATAATAAAGTAAATTATTTTAAATGCAATAACTAATAAATTTAATTAAAAATGATAAATAAATAATTTTATAACAAAAATTAAATTATTAATTAATTAGATCAGCTAAAGAAATTAAATTTAAGATTTGCCAAAAGAAATGCTGGATAATAATTAGAACATTAAAAAAATCAAAATTAATAATAAATAAGTTCCTCAATCTATGTAAAGTAGATAATCAAAAATAGAAAATAAAATTTATTTTAATTTAAAAACAGCGATGATAAATTGGAAAAAATAAATGAAGTATAAAGTTAACTTAGTGAAGAAAAATAAAATGAAATAGATCAAAATAATGTATTATTTATAATTTCTATGTTTATATTAATTGTTAAATTTATTTTAAAGCTTTTTTGATTTAATGTGTTATTTGTTTGCTTTATTTTAAAATTTTAAATAAAATAAAATTTATTAAAAAATCTAAAATAATTTTAAAATATAAATTATTTATTTATTTATTTATTTTGAAATATGTCCTGTTCTGTTCTTCATATGAAAGTTTTTTTCTCTCAATTCTTTATATTTATTTGTAAATATATTTTTTAATAATATTATTTTTTAAACGTAATTTTTGTTTAATTAAATATATATAAATATTATATAGGTCCAGTAATAAGTTTTGGGACACTATTTTTTACAATAGAAATATATATCATGATATCATTAATGTTTGGTTTGTCTGTGATATTTTAAATGCAGGAACAGCTATATATATATATATATATATATAATGAGGTTACAATTTTATTATTTAATATCTGTTAATGGTAAATTATTTATTTTATATATAATGTTTTTTTTTTCTTCTTAATTCTTTATATTTATTTGGAAATTTATTTTTCAATAATATTTATTTTTTTAAAATAAATTTTGTTTATGTAAAATGAGGTTACAATTTTATACTTTAATATATGTAAAATATATATCACTATTTTATTTAATTCATGCTTTAGAAAAGAAAAGATATAAACTGAAATTGATGGCTCTGAATTTGTACTTTATTATTTATAAAGCCTGATTAAAATAAATAATTTGCAAATATTGATAACAAAATATTGGTAAAAAATGAATTAAGATATATTGCTTTAGTGGTATAAATATTAATATTCACTATTAGTAAAATTATATAGGTTGTAGCTATCTTTTCATTACAAAGTATTAAAAACTAATGTAATCATTTAGCTGAATATTTAAATTTAATATTATTAATTTTTCAATTTTCTCTTTAGAAAAATAAATATATCAATTAAAATTAAGCAAAACACTTACTTATTTGAATAGATTAAGAGATGCATAGCGTATTATCTTTAAATTAGAAAGATCATAATCTCACTTAACTGATTCAAACTAGCAATGAATTAGAAAATGTTTCTCATATTCAAAAAGTATTTCCTTTTTCTACAGATAGTAAATTCAAAGTAAAAGTATAAGAGGAATAGTAAACAAGATATATGAAACAATTAATAAGTTAGCAATAAAAATAAGAAAGAACTAAAAAAATATTATTGATTTTGTTTTTAGTTATCGTTGGAATTGCTTTATTTACATCCATATTATCCCTTTGCTCATATTTAAATCTTCCTGCTCTTCCTATTTCCTACGATTATGTCCTTAGTAACTGGAATAGCTCGCCTATTATTTCAATATTTCAGTAGAATAATTGTGATGAGCAGTTGATTAATTTTTAATTTGAAGGCACTTACCAAGGGTGTGATTGCACAAGCTCTTCACTGTCGTCCGATTTAAGAATAATCCAGATAGGCAGCTGTTCATAATAATAACTATCTTCAGGATGCTAGCAAGTAGCTTCAGTGCAACCTAAAATATTATCATCTATGAAGGTTAATAATATAGCATACAATCTATGTGTAAAGAGAATACCTAATTATACTTATCAATAATCTGATTGCACTAAATCAAATTAGCTTATAAATATATGTGGAGATACTTCAACAGAAGAAAGTTCATTATATGCCCTTTGCATCCCATCAGGCTATAGTTGTCCTATTAATTCTATAGCTACATCTTAATTGGATACTTCATTCACATAAATAAATAACTCTCCCCTTTTTTCAACTTCTAACTCATATACTTAAACTCATTTTATATCTGCTTTGGTTTCACTTGGAAATGGAGTTTGTAAATAATATAATTAGTAATATTATTCTAGCTCTAGCTCCTTTAATTATCCGTTATTTATCAGAAGCAAATCAAAGTGTGATGCTAGTGACTTAGATAGCCGATTCTAAAATATTTTATCAATGGGTGAAGATGATTTTATGAGTTCTAATAATCTTGATATTTAGATAAAAAATTTACCATAATACAATTATAATTCTAAATCTAATTTGTACTACTTAGAGTAGTAAAGTTACATTCCTTGGAAATAAAAAGGATTTTGCAGAACTAATCATATGGGCACATTCGTCAACATAAAGGATAGCTTGAGATAGATAAATTTATTCTGGCTGCTATCAATTATTTTTAGCTTTGCTTTATTAACTATTTTTTTTATTTTTGGCTCTATTTTGCTTTTCATCATATACCGTTCTACTTCCTTTTTAAAGTATAGGAGATATCTAATTATAGCTATTCTTGTATTTCTAATTATTCATTTGATTTTTCAAGGAATAACATTTATATCAACAATGATTTTTCATTAAAAAATAAATACCATGAACTAAGCTTTATGCTCAGATGCTTCAACCAATTCTATAATCAGTGATTTTTTTAGTCTGTGGAAGAATTCATTTTTTACATCTTAAATTATTTTATTCGTATTTGCTTGCATTTTAGCAATAGAGATAATAATTTTTATCTATCTTCTATATGAACTTCATAAAACGTAACATGTTAAAATTAAAGAAATAAATATTTCTAACAAGTAGGAAATAATAAGCCAAGAGATAAATTCTTAGAGATTGCTTTAATAAGAAAAATAGGTTAATAAATATATTGAGTTTAATGTTAAAAAGTAATAAAAAAAATTGCATAGAAGTAATACTGATATTTTAGGCACTTTAGTGTGTTATGAAAATGACTTCTTTAGAGAAGCGCATGAATTACGATTCTAAAACGAGAAAAGAAATATAAAATAAATTGCAAATATGAATTGTAAAACTAATTATAATATCTTAAGCTAACATGTAAATAGTGAATAACTAGTATACAGAGTAAGTAACAGGTTAAATTAACAACAAATTTACAATTTATAGTAGAAGTATTCTTATTAAATTTGTGATAAATCATTTAAAATTAGATTAATTCCATTAAAATAAAGGAAAAATAATTATATTAAAAATCAACCTGACTCTCAAAAAATTAAGCTTAGAAAGCAAGAGAAAAAATAAATTGTGTTTAAAAGATCAAATTCTGTGGAAAATTATAGAAATAATTCAATTTTATTCAATCCGATTGAGATTTCAGATTTCAGAAAAGAGCTTCATCTTGATGAAATTAAGAAAAAAAGATAAATTAATTTTATTGCACTTAACAAAAATCAAGAGAATAAAAATTAGCAAATGAATAAAAAACTTAAATAGCTTGGATATATGAGCAATAATGATTCTGTTTTGTATCTTGTTGCAAACAGCCAATCTGAATTAAACACAAACTATTCTACTCCTAGGATAGTGTCTCCTCTCTTACAGAAAAAAATGGAAACAGATTCAGAAGAAAAGTAGTAGCTTGTTTCTAACTAAAATATCATTAACAATATTAATAGCCTGATAAGTGTTTTTAATGAAGATACATAGAAACCATTAGAGGGATAAAACTAAATTAGCAAATAAAATTAAATGTTGTAAGATTAAAATGAAGATACAATTTAATTTTAGAAACACATTAATACAATTTAAAATATTTTAGAAGCTGAAAAAGAAATAAAGCAATATAACAAGAGCTCTTTATAGTAGCTTTAAAATACTTAAAGTTAAAAAAAGGTTTATGATTACTTAAGTTTTTATGGAAATATAAAAAATTCATAATAAGACTAAAATAAATATTTATCTACCTCTAAAATTGATTAAAATTTGAAGGAAATAAGTTATTTGCTTTAACTTTAAAATAGTTAAACAAATAAAATAAATGAAAATGAGCAAATTCAATTATAAGCAAATTAATCAAGCCCTAAAGACGAAAACAGTCAATATTAACAAATTTAAAAAGACAGTTTAGCAAATCAAAAATAAACTAAAAACAAGGAAAATGAACAACAAAATAAATATGAGTCTTATCATAATGATAGTTAGAAATAATAAAATGACAAATAGAAAACATTTAAAGAGAATGATCAAAAGTAAGCTGAAAATACTTAAGAAAATTAGAAATTTTATTTAAAATAAAATGAATATCGAAATAATTTATAAATAAAGGAAGATAATAATTAAAAGAATTAAACTTAAGATATTATCATTAATAAATAAAATTTAAATCTATTTTCATTATAAACTGAATAAAATCTCAAAACACCAATAAAAATTTATAGCAAAAGAGGAAGCTTAGACCATTTGGATGAATAATTTTCAGAGTAAAGTAGGTTGAAGAAAAATAAAGAGCTAAGTTATAAGAAAGTTAAATTTTTCAAAAGAAATGTCAAAGTTCCAAAGTTTTCAAAGCCTGATTTTAATGATGTTAAATCTAGGTATTTATGTTTTTCATCTTAAGAAAGTCTAAGTAAAATACACAGATGCAATTCCTCCACCAAAAGTAGATTAGATTCGCCAATTTCAAAAAATAAAAGCAAAAGTAGATAATAAAGTTTAGACATTGATGAAGGATATTCAAATTAAATCTCTGACTTATTCATTAACACAAATGACATAGAATAAAAAAGATAAAATAGTTATTAACAGAATTTAAATAATAAGTCAATTATATAGTTACAAAAGGTAGAATAAGAAAGCTAAATAAATAGCAATTTAAATAATTTTATTAAAAATTAAAGTGATATTAAAAATTCTAATTCAACTTCGAATAAATAAATAGAAATTAATAAAGATTTAAAGCAATTAAACTTAAATCACAAAAAGCTAAATTAAGATTAAAAAATTAATCTTGAAAATGATTTCCTCAATTAAAAATAAAAAGCAAAAAATGAAAATGATAATCTAATATAAAGTATGTAGGAAAGCTAATCTTATTCTTCTTTTGATTAAATTACAAATAAAAATAAGAATACATAGGATAGTAATAGAATAAATAATCTAATGAATTAATAACAATAAAATTTTTTCAAAATAGATAGAAACAATTCCAATTTTGACTAATTTAAGTAATAACCAAATATATTCTAACAAGAAATTTAATAAAATTATAAGCTTCCTTAACTAAACTTAAACCATTAGCAACAGTAAAAAGATCACACTTTAAGCCCATAAAGGTAATCGAGTTATGTTAAATTGCCATCACTATAAAAGTTAAAAATTTAAGCATATTATCATTAGGTTGAATGAATTGATTCATTATAAAAATAATAGATTAATATAAATAAAGAAAGAAATATATATTGTTAGCTTATTTATGTTTTTTTTATGGTTTTCCTTTCAAATATTTTAATTTAATTTAGAAACTGGGTAATTAATTAATTTATTAAAAACAAATATATTACTATAAAAATTGATGGATTATTTTGAATTTAATAAAATTATTTCAATTATGGATTTTTATTTTAAATAAATTAAAATTGTAATTTTTTTACACAAATAATTAAGAAAATCAAATCTTAGCTCTATGATAATTTTTATCACAAAGTAATAAGATGTGATTGATGAATAACTAACTAACTAACTAACTATAAATAAATAAATTGATTGGTTTAGCATACATGATTTATTTCTATTGCTGCGCAAGATAAAATAATTATAATCAAATTAACTTTTTTATTGAATGGATTATTTTTATAGAGTTTAATTATTAAAGAATTTTCGAAAAAAATTTTATTATAAAGCAAATTCTCAACTTAATTATAATATAAAATTTCTTTTATAATTTATTTATATTTGGTATTTTTTAAGATATTTGATGTTGGAATTGTTTATTTTTAATATAAATTAATTGACCAACTTTATACAAACAGATAAAATAATTTTTGCTAAATTTAAAATTTCTTTTCAAGTTTAAAATCTTTTTTTAACTCGATACTAATAATATTTCATTCATTTATTGATTCTATTAAATTAATCAATAGATCCATCAATCTATCTATTTTTTATTTGTCTAGAAACTTAATTTTAGAAAAATAGACAAATTTTAATTAAATTCATAATTAAGTTGATTACACGTTTAAAATCAATCGCAAATAAATCTAATTTTTGCTAAAGAGTCTTAAAAAGCAGCTATCAAAATTTATAAATTAAGTTTTTAAATAAACACGTGGTTTTAAAATATATTTAAATATTCTCTTCTTAAAAAATTATAATCAAATAAAAAATAAAAAAATTCAAATAAAAACAACAAACAAACAAACAAAAAATAAAAACTGCTAATAGAAAAATGGATATGGAAAACCTTGCTAGAATAAATAAATAAGAAGCTGAAGAAAATTAAGGGACTCAGAAAGAAGTAGATCACTAAAATCAAGTACCTGATTCTGAAGTTTCTTAATAATTATAATAGTAAGAAACAGAAGGAAGATAAATTGATAGTGAGGATAAAGGCTCAAGTAAAGAATTAGATAATGTCTAAAAAAACTAAAAGCAATAAATTAAAAATAATTTTAAAAAGTTAGACGTTCTTTACTTTATTGGAATTAATAGCTTAGTCTAAAATTTACTTTTTAATCTAAAATTTCTAAATTTATTAGAAAATTGGTTAATTGTCATTTTGATAAACTTAATTACCTACATAGCTTTATATAGGTAAACCTAATTACAAAAGTATTTTAACAATGGGTAAGAAATAGTCAAAGAACTTTACATAAATAGCAAAAAAAGGTTAAATAAAGAGAGAATTTTCATAGGACTTTTGATAATATTGATAACTTCTCTTTTATTAGCAAATATTTACATAAATAATTAAATTAACAAAACTACCGATCTTTAGAAATCCATATTGAAATACCATGATCACCTTGGATTATTTAATAGAAATTATGTATATCATTTGGAATAAATTAATTAGAGCAATAACATTAAAAAAGATCTCATTAACTAATTTAATCATGTTGCATCAAAAACAAACTATCTCAACTCAAAAATGAAAGAATTATAAAACTAATATTAATAAAAAGAGAAACTAATATAATAGCTAAAGCAATAAATTGAAAATCAAGATAATTAAAGAAAAAATAGCCAATAAAATAAATAAGAATTAAATCAATAGAGTATCTTTTAAGAATTAATTAACCACTTCCAAAACATTGATAATAAGAAATATTAACAAAATTAGTAAAAAGCAAGTTTATAAGAATAACTAAAGCAAATATAAAAGTCATTTTAAAAATAATACTAATAAGTAATAAATGAATAAAAAAACTAATTAAACTTAAACAAGAAACATTTTGATGAGAAGCTCAAAAAACCTATTCAATAATATAGATATATTCGCCCTTTCCATCTGGCTAAAAATTAAAAAGAGCAAATTAATTAATAATATTAATAACAATAACAATAAAAAGCAACACCAAACAACTAATAATAATAAAACAACCATAAATTTGAGTAGATCTAATAAA